CCTTGAACACGTCCGAGATCCTCATACCAGCGTACATGAGCTCCTGACCACGCTCGTCAGAGATGGTGGAGATGAATGCGGCAGGTTTCCGGATGAGGCCGAGTTCCTGGGCCCACTTGTAGTCCATTGGGATGACTGGTGGCTCACGCTCAGCATCGACCCTGACGATGCCGTTCTTCACGAGCTTGTTGTATGTCTGAGTGAGGACGGCAGGAAGATCCTCGAATGTGGAGGGGACGATGAAGCCCGCAGCCTTCATCGCTGCATTCTTAGCGTCGGCAGTCTCGAGGTCCGAGTTGGCCATGGAGCCGGCGTGACCGAACTGTACCTCAGTCGTGAACATCTTCGCGCAAGTGCCGATAGCCCAGGCAACGATAGGCTTGGTGATCTTTCCACTCTTGACCGCCTGGATGACGCGGTACTCCTCGATACCACCGACTTCACCGAGCAGGACGAGCATCTTGCAGTCGGGGTCGGCCTCGTACCGAAGCATATGGTCAATGAACGTGGTGCCAGGGTAACGGTCACCGCCGATGGCGATACCCTCATAGGTGCCGTTAGTGACAAGAGAGAGGATGTTGTTCAGCTCGTTGGACATGCCTCCGGACTTGGAGACGTAGCCGACCGAGCCGGGTCGGTACAGCTTGGAGGCGATAATGTTGTCCATCATCCCTCCGGAGTTTCCGATCCTGAAGCAACCAGGCTTGATACCACCGACAGTAGCAGGGCCGATGATGAGAACACCCTTCTCCTGCGCGTCGTGGAGGATCTCGCGGGCGTAACGCTCCGGTACACCCTCGGCGATGATGGCGATGGCCTTGATCTGGGGCAGGGCAAGCATCTCCATCGTCGACTGGTAGACAGAGCGGGAGGACGCAAAGTTGACAACAACGTCGGCGTCTGGGTGCTTCTTTACTGCCTCTTCCGTGCTGGTGTACACGGGGAGGAGGGTCTCCCGGGTGCCCCAGTAGAACTTCTGGATATGGTGTCCACCGAAGGGATAGATCATAGCAGCGACGGACGGGGTCTCGCGTCCGCAAGAATAGTCGAAGTCGAGCATACCCTGGATAGCGCGTGGCTGGAGACCGTACACAAGTGAACGTGTCGTAGCATCGAAAGGACGGTACCAAGGGCGGTTGGTCGCCCCTTGCGCATCGAAGTGGACGATCCTGTCGTTAGGCTGGGTACGCTCGCCAGAGGGGCCAATCGGGCCAACGGGACCCTCAGCATCAGGCTGCACCTCGCCCTGGATAGGGCTTTGGGGGTTGGAAACCTCCTGCATCTTGCTTCCAACGGTGGCGCTGACCTGCTGGGCCTCCTTGACGAGGCCGAGGGCGAGAGGGACAATGGCGGTGATGTGTGTCTCGGGGCCGAAAACGTGGATGGGAACCCCGAGGGACTCGCCGAGCAGGCGCATGGCCTTGAGGCCCTCCTGGTAGTTGGGCCCACCACGACGTACGTAGATCTGCACCTTGTGGGTGATCAAAGGGGTCTTGTACTCCTTCAGAGCGCGGATGATGCCCTTGAACGTAGCAGCAACATTGGTGAAGTTGGCGATACCACCACCAATGATGAGGATCTTGCCATCGGGACGAGGAGCACCACGAGTGATGAGGTCGATGATGGTCTTTGCGTACTCGTACGTCTGACCCTCGGTAGGGGCTCCGGAGTACTCGCCGTAGTTGGCAAGCTCATGTGCGAACCCAGCCGCGGCGATCGCATCAGAATAGACGACAGAGGCACCACCACCGGCAACCATGGTCCAGATCCGGCCATTGGCATTGAGCACGGTAAGCTTCAGGGAAGCACCGGTACTGCCGTCGAGCTTCTGGATGTATGCTTCTTCCTTGGTCAGGTCACGGCCGAAGGGTGCCGGCCAAACTGGAATGTTCATTCATCCTATCAGCCTCTTGACCGGTATCAGAATCACGGGAAAGGACGAACCCATGGGAGGACCACGGTCGGCCATTACGCCGCTCGCCTGCGCCCGGCTATCATAGACCGAAAGATCACGCGCGATGGCCCACTTGGGTCCGCAGAGGTAGTCCGCGGTCTAAGGGTCCTGTCAACACTGATCGAGGCCTCATGCGCACGACGACTCACCTGGTCAAGCTTGGCAGCCATGTCGAGGTAATGGATTGTGGGCGGTTTGCCGTTGACGCCATCGAGGCAGATCAGGGGGTTGATTTCGAGGTAGGTGAAGTGCAGATCGACATAGACACTGTACAGACGGATGAGGAAATCGACCAGGGTGTCCTTCTTGGCCTCGGGCACATGAGTCAGAAGCGATTTCTTGATCTGGTCGCGAGAGGGGAACTCCTTGCCCACGGGGATGAGCAGCTTGAGTGCCTTCGCATCGACATCGCCGACTTCGATACCACCCTCGTGGGTGAAGAGGATGTTGTCTCCCTCACGGATTGAGTTGATGCATACGTAGTACTCGGTGTGCGACGGGTGGGGCAGGAAAGGCTCGACAATGAAGTTGTTTAGCTTGCCCGTGGTGTTCGCAACCTATGTCCGAGAGATAGAAGCACTGTCAGTAAGGCTGCTGAAGACAACAGAAGCAATGCGAGGAAACACGACTAAAGCGCGTCAGGGTCCTGTCCGTCCTCCCGTGCCTGATGGGAACACCGTATCAGCGCACTACGGGCACCGAACCGGGAATAGCACAGGACAGTGTGGGACCGTGATCTTCCAGAGGACCGCAATATGCGCCCGTAACGTGATTGAGCCCGTGGGCACACGCTCGGAGGAGAGAATACGCGCGCGGGACCGGAGAATAGAGCAAAGCCGGGAAGCAGAAATCGCACGCACAGTAACGTCCTTCCCTGCACGAGCAGCGATCCACTCCTTCGCCTCCGGCCACTCCTTGTTCAGCAGAAGGAGGCCGCTCTTGCCTCGACGCTTAATGAGCTGATCAGGCTTTGCCACGAGCTTGGATGTGAAGACCCATGCGGGGAGCTGCGAGTCTGGGGTGATGGTGTTGCTCTCCGGGTCCCAGGAGATCTGGGCGACGTGTGGGCTGGGGTAGACGAAGTTCTTCGACACCTGAACGGAAGAGGAGATGATAGGAGAGCGCTCGAGCCAGTAGGCAAGCAGGAGCTTCGCGTCGAACTCGCGGATAGCTGCATGATCAGGTAGGTAGATGTATGCGCTGAAAAGATGGATGTATGCGCACCCTTGGACGACATTTTGTCTCAGACGGTGTTGTCCTTGTTTATTACGTAGAGTAACGGTGCGCAGAACAGAGCAGGAGAGGGCTAGTGGTGGGGGGGAGGAGAGAGATGAAGGGGTATTTAGATTTCCTGTGCCCTAGGTCAAGGCGGTGATTTTGTACTTTTGTCGCGCGTTCTCTGGTTTCCCGCCCATTCGGGGATCTCCCTCCACTGTACCCCCAACGACACCCAAATTTGCCTCCGTTCCCAAAGAGAACACGGTGAATATCACCAGAACTTTCACCGAAGGGACTGTTGTCCCATCATGTTCCCATCATCTTATCACACTTACGTCTTCGGGGCCGTCCTACCATCCGTATAATTCACATAATTCATAATCAAACATCCTCAATATCATCCTCAGCCCCAAGCTGTCAAAAAGCACCAAACCTCAGGCACCTTAAGACGCGTCCATCGCGCATCTCGGTCCCCCAGCGGACCCTCACTCCCCACAGGGCGAGTTAATTCCTCCGATGACCCCAATTCGGAAGCAAAGTCGCCAGAATGGCCCTCCGGGCTCAATTTTCCTTCAATGACCCCCTCAGACTGGCATTAGGAAGGCATTTGCCCTTCTGAAGCTGTAAAAAGGGTTTTTGGGGAAATAAAAATGTTAGGGGTCCTGCTAAAGTGCACAATGGCATTTACCCAAATGCACATATATCAACCAAATTTGGAACTACATAAATGGTGAAAAAAGTAATGAGCACACAGTAGATGAGATTGCTATTTTCTCTCTTTTTCTTCTTATTATTGTGATGTTTTTGTCATTTTTTATTAACCTACTACTTGCAGGACCCCAAATTTGCTTAATTGGCATGGGTGCCCTATTTTGGCATCAGAAGCACAAATGTGTCCCTAACACTGCACCAGAGGGGTCATTGAGGGATATTGGGCCCTGAGGGCCATTCTGGCAATTTTGCCTCTAAATTGGGGTCATCAGAGGAATTAACTCTAAGGGCTTCTGGATAGAAGGACCCTGAAGTGGTTCTGCTGATGTCCTTTCCCTTGTGTCGTTCTCTCCACTTCTATGGCTCCAACAAGATTGAATATTCAACCTTGCCTCAGCATTCAATAACCCCACACATTGTTATGACATGAGCACTATACAAAGCAAGCTAATTAAAGGACCAGGTGACATCACTTTGCCCTGCCCATGGTTCTACCCCCATTCTAACTCTGTTATCCCAGAGCCGACCATATTGCCTGATGCTGCAACTGGCCCACAGACCAGCCTGATCAGCTTGGCGCCTCTTCCACCCTCTGCATCTGATGGCTCTGATGCCCTTGAAAACCCTCAGTCACCCTCCCTGGCTTTGACAACAGTCAACACTGGAGAGCCAGCAATTGGTTCCCAAGCCTGGTTTGACTGCAAGTTCAAAGAGTTGAACCAACCAGACAAGCCCAAAATTCTTGTGCTCGAAAAACAGTTGGCTGGGAGTGCAGGGCAAAGCAGCCTGGAGAGCACTGACCAAGGCAGTGAGATTTGAACAAGACAGCAATGTGCTGCACAGATGAGCCCAACCTGTGCACCATGCACAATGGCTGGTGTATCTTTCAAATAATTTTCATATGTCTTTGTGATCATTGTACTTTGTGGACACCAAGTAAATGGAGGTATTTCCTCTGATGCCCTGTTTTCAGAAACAAAATACCTGTTATGCCCCTCCAGATGCATTTTCCCCAAATGCCCTGGATCACAGCATTAGTATAGCCTAGAAGTGGAGCTGAAAATCCCCAAAGGGGAAAACTGGTCACTTAGGGGTCCCAGCCTCTGCTTCACAAGAGTTAATTTTCTAATTCACTTAGAAAAAAATACAAAAGAAAGAAAATCAAAAAAAAATCAGTAGATATAAATAATGAGACATACAGACAGACTTCTTTTAATTTTCCTCAAAGTGTATTCTCTGATAAATGAGCATGCTTATAAATCGGACCCCTGACATACTACCTTCAATTCACACTTCATATTTTTAGGGCAGCTTCTCCCTGGCTTACCTACAGGCTGTCTTAGCTCCTAACACCATGATCCCTGGAAGAAGAGGGGGCATTTGGGGAAATGCGTCTGGAGGGGCATAACAGGTATTTTGTTTCCGAAAATGGGGCATCAGAGGAAATACCTCCAAGTAAATGTGGCGGCAGACACAGCCACTCATGCCGGCTGGACTCTTCGGTCGGCCGCACGGCTTCTCGATTTGGAGGTTCCGCTAAAGAGTTGGCTTGGTTGTCCACACCAGTTACCTGAACGGCGGTCCCGCATGCGTCGCGGCCGGTTGTGCTACTCCTCCTACTCATACACACCGTACCTAACTACGAATTGTCAGCATTCTATCCGGTACGCACAGCCTAAGGCCATGGTAGACGGCCGTTCGAAAACTGTCAACTTCCAACAATTGCCCGCTTGCTCGCCCTATCAGGCGCCCGAGTCACGCCGAGCTCGGCGTGGTGTGCACCATACGCCAGTGACGTCGACTCTTTAGTAGGTTGGAGGGATGAACGATGTGCAGATCAACGGTATGTGGAAGGGTAATAATTTGCAGGGGGATATCTTAGATCAGCCACGTATCGAGTTTGCGTGATTGGCTTGGAGAATGATCCCCTTGAGCGTTAATGACGTCGCTACGGAGATATCGGTGGAGAGATCAGATTTTCGGGCTAATCCAGTAACAAGTTTTCCACGCCCACGGGGTCTAGAAATGATCAGATACATAGGCACACCTGCTACGACAACGTCTTGACCATCTAGCGACATGGGAATGATCCCAAGCGTACAACCCCTGTATTGATTTGATCCAACAACCAGCAGAACGGAAAGGGCAAATCAATTCACCAAACGATCGCCCATTTCGATAGGAAGTAGAAAGTACCGCAAAGTATTCAGGAGTGTTAATTAAACATCCCATTTCTGCGAGATAAGCCGATCAGAATCCTCTCCCGAAGAAGCAGATAACCACTCCACTCATTCTCGGAACCCACCGCTTTCCCTTCATCCGGGCTACTCCTTCCCCTCCTCTTCCTGCTTACCCCACGCCCTCTTCCTCAGCTCGTCAAATTCGTCGCCTAAGCACTTCTCCCTCGATTCCTCAAGTCCAACCTCCACTTCACCCCATTTATCAGCCGCGACCCACACACCCTTCCCCGTCCACTCCGAACCGCGGAGGGCGTTGTACGCAAGTGCTTTGGCGACGCTTGATGCGCGGGAGACGGGGATGTTCCGGGAGGTGCAGAAGGTGCGTAAGGATGGGTACATTAATGCCGAGTCGGTAAAGAAGGGAGCCACGAGGTTGATCGTGATGTTGTCATTCTTGAGCGTGCTGGCGAGACTGCGGACGAGACCGAGGACCTTGTACGAAACAAGATGTGAACATGATCGCACACAGAATACAACGATGAACAAAACGTGCAAAGCGCCAACCCATACGTGAACCGTACTCACTCCATGTTTCGTAGCAGTATACAACGGCACCCCCTCTCCCAAATAGCTCGCCACACTCCCCGTAACCCCCACGCCGCCCCCACCGCCTTTACGCATATAGAACACCGCGAGCTTGATACACCCCACTACACCCTTTAGATTCACATCCAGGGTTTTGTAGTTCGGCTCTTTCGGCCTGCCCGAATCGTCTAGCACAGGGTCGAACAGGTCGGCGATTTCACCTATGCCCGCGTTCGCTAGTACGATATCGACTCTTCCGTGTGCTTGGAAGGCGACGTCGAACAGCTCTAACAGGTCAGACCAGAGGGAGACGTCCGTCTTCTGGAAGGTGGTTTTGGGGAAGAATTTTGGAAGGGAGGTGATATCCCCTACGAAGACGTGCGCTCCGAGGGAGGAGAAGAGTTCGACGGTAGCGAGGCCTATGCCAGAGCTCCCACCTGCAGGTGGAATCAGTCGTGTGACACATCTGAAGCACGCAGGTAAGGCATACCGGTGATGATGACCACCTTTTCCTTCGCACCGACGAGATCTTCGCCCTTGATGTCCAAGGTCGCTGCCATCGTTGTTCCCAGTCTGACACACACACCAGAGTAACGATGCCTCATGTTTATACCATCCAGAGCAGGTCAGGCGCCTAGCGGAGTATCGTTTGCCCCATCCTGTTGTCGACAGGTATTACACCACGGCGCATGATCCCGATCCCGCTTACACCGTCAAAGCGTATCATGATTTAGACTGACCAGAGAACATCTCAAGATAGAATGGGCATTGGAAGGCGAGTCATGCAGCGCCAGTCATTGTCCACATTTATGCTGCAAATGCCTCCGAACCCTGTACGCGTACATTATCAACGCGCTGTTCCCTCCACAGCGGCGGCCAACTTCTTCTCCGTCTGTCCAGTAGAAAATGTCGACAACACCAGCAACGCTCAGCGACGTGCTCGCTCTGGTCCACTCCTGCCAGTCATTCAATACCATCTCGAGCCAGCTGCTCCAGACTCTGCGTATGCTCGTCAAGCACCAGGGAGCGCTGGCGGAGTCCTTGCTCGGAGGACTGGCTAATGGGCAGGACCCGCTTGTGAATGTGGGCTTCGGAGTGGGAGGGGGGAAGACTGCGGCTGCTTTTTCTCTCGGAACGCTGTTCATCTTGTGCGTTCCTACTGTGGGAATATATGCTTGGTAGTGACAGGCTTGCGTGAGAACAGGTCTGCAAGACTCAGCATACAGAACCCTCCCCCTACATCCTTTCAGACGATCGTAGAGTGGTGCGGGACGTTCGAGCCTCATCAGGCGCGTCTAGCACCAGAAAGGATGACCAAGCTCGTGAAGGGTATCGTGCGCTGGGCGGAGCAACAGGGTCAGGTGCGTCCATTTTGGATCTGATGAAACGTAGCGCTGAGCTGCGGACAGCCGGAAGATGCTCTAGAGCCGCTGAGACTGCTCGTTACGCGCTACCCACCCTCTCCAGCTTATCTCACTAACATCCATCCTGTCTTTGTTCAAGTGAGTCATGCCCCGTCCAACCAAGACTATGCTGAGGTGCAAACAGTTATGCTGCACAACCCGGCACTTCTCACTCGCCCTTCCCATTCTCTCCAATCCCATCACCGAGATAGACGCCTCTGTACGTCCCCCCTCCCCAGAATCTGCATTCACTAACTGTGCGCAGATATCCGACTTGCATTATACCGACAACCTCATATATCACTACTGCGGCGGAGTTGCATACGGCGCGCTGAAGCGGTGGAAGGAGGCCGCGGACTTTTTCGAAATTGCCGTGTCCAGCCCCGCGACGGTGGCGAGTGCGATTCAGATAGAAGCGTACAAGAAGTATTCACTCATCCAGTTGATCCTGTATGGCAAGGTATGTCTCCCCCCCTCCAAAGCGGAACGCATTAACCACGCTCTGCAGACTTCCCCACCACCAAAATACACCTCTCCCCCCGTCTCCCGCGCCTACCGCAACTCCTCCACCACCCAGCCCTATCTCAAGTTCATCAACGCTGTCGAGATCTCCGACCCGACCGTCGCGCACAGTCTGGCAAAAGAGACCGACGCCTTCGTGCAGGACAACAACCTGGGCCTAGTGAACCAAGTACTTGCTCGTCTCCCCTGGCTCGCAGTCAAGAAGCTCAAAGAGACATACATGAAGCTTTCGCTGGAGGAGATCGGGCGCTCCATAGCAAGTACGATCTCGGAGGACGGCTCCAGCGCACGCGCGCTCATCGTAGAGATGGTCGCTGCGGGCGAGCTGAGCGCTATCATCCACCCCGAGGACGAGACCGTAAGCTTTGAAGAGGAGAGCGCGCTCCTCCCTCAGCCTGGGAAGCAGCAGGTTGAGCGCGCGCTAGAGAGTGCGAGGGAGGCGGTGGAGAGACTTGCTGAGCTGGATAGGACGATCGGGAGGAGCAGGGATTATATCCAGAAGGTGAGTCTTACTGCTAGATTGTGGAAGGGGATACTGAGCTGGTATGTAGGCACTCCACCAGAGGGATTCTGGAGGCATGGGATGGCAGGACGAGGAGGCCATGATGCCCCAGATGAGGGAGAGCTGGGAGAATAACTTGTAGTGGCATCTGTTTTCTCTCCTGTCATCATATCGTTTACTGCACGCAATGTCATATATTCATCGCCGTCATTCATGGTTGCAGGAGGTACCGTCCCAGGTTACAATACTTACTAGAGTGAACATACACCACGCAGTCAGTTTAACAACCTCAATCTAACAACATTCTATCCTTGAGCGACTACAACTATTGAACCACATTGACTGATCTACGTTTGATTGCGCAATTGATTTCTACTTCCCCTAGAATCCCAAAGAAAACGTGCGTGCTACGAAAAAGCGATCCGGTCTCCGCTCTTCCAATCCAGAGCCAGCCCAAACGTCCCATGCCTCATTCCGGCGCACCTCCCCCCTTTGAAGGGGGAAAGATCCAGCACAGAAGAGAGCAGAAACGTCTAGCTAGAAAGGAGGGAATGATGATTGAGTAGAGAGAAATGACGGAGATCGCAGAGAAAATATGTATGGGTTTATACTATACATTGCCTGTAGCTGGGAAAGCGTTGAGATTCCCAGGGGGGGGGTGCCCTCCTCGGGCGAGCCGCGCCCCACGCGCGTTTTTATAAGCATACCGGCACGTTGAGGCCGGAGGGGAGCGAGGCGCCTAGTAGCGGTAGTGGTCGGCCTTGTAAGGCCCGTTGACGGGGATGTCGAGGTACTTGGACTGCTCGGCCGTCAGCGTGGTGAGCTTGATGTTGAGCTGGGCGAGATGGGCGCGGGCGACCTCCTCGTCGAGCTCCTTGGGGAGGATGTGCACGCCCAGAGGGAACTTCTCGGGCGTGGTCCAGAGCGCGATCTGGGCCAGGACCTGGTTCGCGAAGGAGCAGGACATGACGAACGACGGGTGGCCGGTGGCGCACCCGAGGTTGACGAGACGGCCTTCAGCGAGCAGGATGATATGGCGGCCGGAGGGCATGGTGTAGCGGTCAACCTGGGGCTTGATGTTGACCACAGACTTGGCGTGGCTCTTGAGCCAGGCGACGTCAACCTCGACATCGAAGTGGCCGATGTTGCAGACGATGGCGTCCTCGGGCATGACCTCGAAGTGCTTGCCAACGACGATGTCACGGTTACCGGTGGTGGTGACGAAGATGTTGGAGCGGGGAGCAGCATCCTCCATCGTCGTGACCTCGTAGCCGGCCATAGCGGCCTGCAGGGCGTTGATGGGGTCAATCTCGGTGACGAGCACGCGGGCACCGTAAGAGCGGAGGGACTCGGCGCAGCCCTTGCCGACATCACCGAAGCCGGCGACGACAGCGACCTTGCCAGCAAGCATGACATCTGTGGCACGCTTAATACCATCGACGAGGGACTCGCGGCAGCCGTAGTAGTTGTCGAACTTGGACTTGGTGACGGAGTCGTTGACGTTGATGGCGGGGATTTTCAGCTTGCCAGAACGGAGGTTCATGTACAGGTGGTGCACACCGGTCGTGGTCTCCTCAGACACACCACGGATGTCTGCAACAAGCATTAGCACCGCAGTCACCAGAAAACTAGATATATGCTCACTCTTGAGCAGCTCGGGGTACTTCTCGTGGACGAGGTTGGTCAGATCTCCACCATCATCAAGGATCATGTTCAGGGGCTGGCCGCCAGGAAAAGCCTTGAGGGACTGCTCGATGCACCAGACATACTCCTCCTCTGTCTCGCCCTTCCAGGCGAAAACGGGCACACCGGTAGCGGCGATCGCGGCGGCGGCGTGATCCTGAGTAGAGTAGATGTTGCAGGAAGACCAGGTGACCTGGGCACCGAGCGCGACGAGCGTCTCGATCAGCACTGCGGTCTGGATGGTCCTGTGTGTCGCCACATCAGAGGGTTACCTCCGCACACGCATATAAGACGTACATGTGGAGGCAGCCGGCGATCCGTGCGCCCTTGAGGGGCTGGGCAGCTTTATGCTACAACGACAATGATAAGCACACCCCCTTCATTGTCAAGCACCCAAACCCACCTTCTCACGGATGTACATCAACCCCGGCATCTCATGCTCGGCGATCTCAATCTCCTTGCGACCAAAGGCAGCAAGGGAGATATCTGCAACGTGGCGCATACACGGATGCACTGATCAGCGCACAACGTTCCCCAACGGCAGCAAGAGTACTGACCAGCAACCTTGTAGGACATGTTCGTTGTATATTTGTTGGGATGTGCTGCCAGCGACGTGTAAGGGAGGGGGGAAGAGGGAGAGGATGATGTTCCCAACAACACACTTGAGCGGTATTAAAGGGCTGTAGAGAAGGGGACAAGGAAGCGCTTAGGGCAAAATATCTCCCTTTTAGATCCCGTGAATTTAACAAGTTCCCCCAATGAAATGGACAACCACGTGCGACTATATCTCCGACACTCCGCGGTCATTGTCGGTCTTACACTTTCTCACCAACACCCAAACAACGAGGCGCTGATGCCAAAGACTTACGCAGACTCTGAGCAAAAGGGCAAACCAAGATGCCGTCTAGCTGAGATCGTACAATACGAATGTACGCCAGACTACGCGGCCAACAGCGTCCTCTGTCGTGAGGTCCCACGCATCTTCAGGTTGTACGTGATCCTCATCCCCTTTAACTTGAACTTTATCCATCCGCTCGACGGGCGTTTACGCTGCAACACGTCTTCACGCCTTCGCTGGCTCCTGTGCGGCTCTGTGGGAAGAGAACGTAATACTGACACTTCAGCGAGGACAGATGCGAAGGCCGGCCGGCGATCGAACTCACCGCTTTCGTAAAATACGACGCCAAGACGGGGGATATAACTCTGCCTGATTTCACGTCGTGCGTGCTGTCCCTCCCTCTCTTTTTGGTGCGCGGCTCGCTTATGCATCGAGGGGACAGCAGCGACCTCCCACAAGGGAAGAAATGGGGGGATCTGCCGCATACGGACGGTTAGGTCTGCTTTCGGCTGCGATGGTCTTGGAAGGCGTTCGGCTCTGGCTGGGAAGGTTCTTGCGCGAAGGGACCCATCGAGCAGTGTGGTGTTATCAATCACGAGCTTACAACCATCAGTAATCTTATCATATCAAGCTCAGCCTGCGAAGATGCCAGCACTCTGCAAGAAGCTGCGTTCGCACAACCTCTGCGTTCGCCACGGTCTTGTCGACATCAATGGTGATCAAGCGACGTCATCAGCTTTGGAGTCAGAGAGTGTGGTCGACAGTCGTATGGCTTGGCTTGCTGTTTATTCAAGACGATGATGTGCAAATATAACACTTTGTCACAAGAAAACCGAATGTCTGGCGCGCTCCGTCGTGTTCCTTCTTTGCATGGGAAAGGAGATGATCCTGACCGTTGCTCGCCTTGGTATCGGTGACATGTATTTAGACGCGCCGACCTATGCCAATCCTTTGCATGCGTCCTTTGATGTCACTCGCTGGTTTAGGTTCATTCTCTGGCAGCTGTTCACACATGGGGCCATCGCATCGGTACGCAAAACCGCATGCATTGTTACGTAATGAAACACCATGCCTTCTAAGGATACATGTCAAAGTCACAACCATTGTCGCAAGTCTCATCCCACCTTTCACCATTCCGCTTCAACCCAAGGCGTCGTGCTGCAAACCCTAGGCCAAATGGGTCGGCTTGATCGCAATCTTCAAACACTGACGCGAGGCCATCTTATCCAGCGCATCCTGGTACTGCGCGATCGTATACACGTCCGTTACCATGCCCTTGACGTTCACCTTCCCGGAGTCAAGGTACGCCAACGCCCGGGGGAAACAGTACGTCTGGGAAAAGGAGCCGACGATGGTTATCTCGTCTCCGAAGATCTTGCCAGGGGGCCAGTGGACGAGCGCCGAGTTCTCGTACACGCCGTAGATCATCAACGTCCCCCCTCGGCGGACGTAGTTGATCGCGTCGTTTGCAAGTTTCTCTACACCAGTGGCTTCGACAACAATATCGAACCCGTAGGGATGGTCTTTCTTCAGCTGTTCCCACTGCGCCTCCGGTTCCTTCCGGTCAAGCTCGATATACACGTCTGCAGCGTTGATTTGCTTCGCGATGTCCATCTTCATCCCCTTGTTAGCGGCGAGGACGACTTTGACGGCGCCATTTTGCTTCAACAGCTGGGAGAGGATGAGCCCTGTAGGCCCGGCACCCATCAGCAGTACTTCGGACCCGACGGGAGGGCGGATCTTATCCAGTCCGTGGAGGGCACATGCCGCTGGCTCGAGGAGAGTAGCCTCGATATCCGTCAGGTTGTGGATCTGGTACACCTTGCTTTGGTCACTGTACACCTCTTAGCGGTCGTCCTTTGCTAAAGGAAGCGACGTACTAGCATACATACTCGGCGAACCCGCCATCGGTCGTAACGCCCTTGCTGGCAAAGTTCTCGCAGAGCAGTTCCTGCCCCCTACGGCAATAGAAACATTTCCCGCACTGCGCTCATCAGCCCATCGCCCACACGTTCAGCATAAGGACAACATACCGTGACACCGACGTCTGCAACCGCACGCATTCCTGGCTTAAAGTCGTGGACGTTCTTCCCCACCTGGACGATCTCGCCTACGACTTCGTGTCCCGGGATGAGCTGCACGGATGTTAGCATATACGCGTCTCTACGCGATGTAGGGCTCACAGGGAACTTGGAGATGAACTCTCCATTGTGTATATGCTGGTCCGTGCCGCATACACCGCACGCGCCCACTACACCGCGTTAGTCGCGTCTCGGCGCTACAACTGGAAAGGGACAGTTCACCCTTGATCATGACCTCGTCGTCGCCGCACTGGGGGACGCTGACGGTGCGAACATCAAACACCTGTGGCTTGGAGTAGTACAGAGCCTGCATCTCCTGGGGGATGGTATAGGTCTTGCTTGAAGTCGGCATATCACCCATTCTTTGCTGGTCTGGGGACGTTAGCGGGGTAGGAGATAGAAGGGGGAGATCGTACCTGGGTAAGTGTGGGGAAGGGACGAGGGGGATGAAGATGATGGTAGCAAGGAGAGGTGGCAAGATTGTGAGCTAAAGTAGGTCTGCAGCACACCACGTGTCCACCCATGTCTCGCAGTATTTACCTTCTATCCTCAGGAAGAAGATCGAGGGAGAAGAGGGTGACGATGGGGCTGGTATGCACGTCACACGCATCCAGACTTCCACCAATCATCATCGCTCATCATTCCCACCCTCTTCTCCCCTCTTCTTCTCATCCTTCTCTCCCACTATCAACCCATTTGGGGTCCCGACAACTTCCCTTGCCTGAGATCGAGTTATCCGTCCGAGCCGGCGGTCGCGCTGTTCCCCAATCTAGCTCGCTATGACGTCACTGTCAGACTCATCAAACACCCATGCGAACATTAGGACCCCAATTTGGTGCACCATTCAAATTTTCATTTTTTCCGAGTCAGGGGGTTGCGCTGTTATCGGTACATCTACTCGATAATTGTGCGGTCACTTTCCGCAGAAGCTAATATTGCGTGAGAGAATAAGTATACATCGGCGGACCCAGCATATATCCCTTGCCAGCACTTCTCGGCGCAACCCTTTCCGGTAAATCGGCAGAATGCCGCAGAAGTAGGTTTGTCCTGACGATATATGAGATGGTCACACTCCCGCGGCCGAAAGGGAGTGCATAGCATCTATTGATCGTGCTTACGCTTCTCTTTGTGGGTGGAGGGACAACGGGAACTGTACCATTGATAACTCATTGACTGCCAAGACGACTTGGAGGTATCGAGCGGCAAACGTTCCAAGGGGGTGATCGCAGGCACCAGGCACCACCATGTAGAGGGGATTAGGAATAACGCTCATTGAGTGAGAGCCACACTTGGTCAAACCACGTTACGCCTCGAGGTGCTTCGTTCGAATGCGCGGGGAAATGGGGAGCCGCAATCGCCGAATTTGGATCACCAAGTCTTCTGCTTACCCAAACAGACATCTCGAAGCGAAATAATAACAGCGTGCGACCGAATCATAGTCATACAATTACGCCGACAACCCGCTGTACATACCCAGCCGACTCTATGCACCTGCCCTTTGTTCGCGCGGGACTGAATACAAGTCAGCAGGAGGAACGCACTGAATGATAACAAGTACGCACCAGACCACTGCACGCTCAGGATCAAGTTCGCATACCCCATCCCATGCACTCTGTCCAGTGCACGCTGGGCCGAATCCCTATCCTCAAAGCTAACGAACGCATATCCCTTCCCCACGCCAGTCTCGCGATCCCGGCCGATGAACACCCTCGCCACGCGTCCAAAGCGCTGGAACAGGTCGCGCAGGTCGTCTTCCTCCGCATCCTCAGACAGGTTCGTCACACGCAGAGTGGGCATGTCTTCCCTTGAACCACCGGCTTTGTACATGGATTCCCCTCCGCGGCTCGCTCCCGCACGCATAGAGGGAGGGACGTACTTTCCCCCAGTGGTGGGAGCAGCAGCGGCAGGCTCGTTCTGTGGAGTGTCCGCTCCGTCCATAGGCGTCTCTGCCCCAAGCTTATCAGCAAATTCCCACATTCAGGGAACATCACGCACCTGCACCGGGAGCACCGAGTCCCATAGGCTCGAGCGTTTCCTTGTAAGGACAACGAGCGGTAAAATGGTCACCCTGACAGATCCTACAAACAACCTTCTTGTTCCCCAGCTTGGCCTTCATCGCCGCCGCGTCATCCTGCTCCGGCTCCGCTTGCTACTCCCTATCAGCGCCTGCAAATACTAACAGCAAGGAAAATATGACGAACCTTGACACCTCCAGCCTGCAGCTTCAGCTCGATCGGTTCGCTCACGGTCGTCGTCGCCCGATCCGGACCGGCCTTGTTCCCCTTCTCGATACCGAATTTTGTCCAGTGCTTCCGCTCTGCAACTGCGTGATCCACCACGGACGTTTTGAGCATCTTGCGGATCTTGCGTGTGATCTGCGCTGCGTGAGCTTGCATGATCGGAGGGAATGAGAGAACGCACTTTGATCTTCTTCCCTTCCTCGTTGGTGGTGTATTCGACGACGGTGTAGATACCGTTCTCGTCTACTGTCTCTTCTACTCTGGGATGTTGGATGACTGTGTTCCTGTAAGGGTTGAGCGCCTCTGGAGGTGAGAGTTGCTTACTGGGCTCGTCAACGTCGTCTGCCCAGGACTTTCCAATTCTGTCCCTACGTCAGCAATTTTACACAGTCTTAACAACAAGTGCGTACATCTCTGTTGTGGTGGCCATGATGGTCTAGGAGTGCTATCCAAGTAACACAGCACAATAGAAATGGGCAAGTCAGCACTAATGCAATGAGTCGTTCATCATCTCTCCCAAAATCCAACTTGAAATTTAGCCTCCGTTCCCACAAACGGAATGCCTCCGAGGAAAAGTGCTGGTCGTGCTTCGAGTTCCCTTCACTGACATTGACCAGGGGTTGACCGCGCTGAACGTTCTGCTCATCGTTGTTACTGTTTATTTCTTGGATTCTGGGTGCGAGGAATGAACGGACAACGACTGGCTGCGGGAGTGAGGGGGACGCTGAACGCACCACGTCAGGCGCAGATTGTACCAAGATGTATCGCACGACCAGGTACGCTACTTTTCTCCGCATGCTCGTGCGGCGCTGACGACGAGATAAATTAGCATGCAACTACTCGAGTTCGTCATTGTTAATTTCTAGTTTGAATGACCTCAACTCCCCCCGACTGGCACGACATCATCCACCCCGAATACCCCGGGCGCGTGTGGTCCGATCTCAGTCAACAGACGCCTCCTCCCACCGTGCTCCCTCATCCCCCTTCCCCTCTCCATATGACGAGCAATCCCCTCCCCCAGCCACAAACTACGTGCTAGACGACTACGTCTCCCGCTCGCTGAACGCCAACCCAGGCGCAACGGCCAGGCGCCATCGGACGCGTTCTGACCGCCCGCCCGTAGCGCATGCCGACCCCTTCCACAAACGAAGTCTGCACCCTATTGCCCCGTGCACGAATGCCGAGGTCGTCGAGTACTTCCGGCAGCTGTTGGACCCCCTGGAATTTTCAGAACAGTTCGCGGCGAGGTTGGTTACCCATACGAGCTGGGGAGGCGGGATGGAGGGCCATAACGGCCGGTTTATCTTCCTTGGTTTGTCCATTTATTCGGTGTGTAGGACATCTGATTGACATCTCCCAGGACGACGGTTCCTCCGAGCGAACATGTTCATGTTCCTCCAATCGGCCGAGGTGCATGCACCTGAGTCCAAGTTCGTCGTTCCCCCATGGAGCGAAGAGATCGAAGCGGCAAGCCAGAAGATGTTGGAGACGCACATCCTAGGGCGGGATATTGGCAGTGCTTGGGAGCTAGAAAGAGTCATGCGATGGGTCCCAATCATGGTACGTGCTCTATTCGAAGACCCATTCTCGCTCGTGCTGACCAGACATAGCCCGACTCAACAGATCGAGAACGCATCTTCGTCTCTTCTGGTCTGTACAAAGTGCGCGGCGCTACAGTAGAAGCTGTGATGGGTGGGATCCTACACCAGTACGGGGGGTTGGTCGCCCATCGCGCATTCCAGACGCGTATTGTTCCCCACCTCTGGCAACATCTGCCTTTATCTTATCAGCGGACAGCGGAAGAGCTGGCAGAGAGGATGGGCGGACCAAAAGCTATGCTTCTCATTCCCCCGGTTACACCGTCAGTATCATCGGGTGAGCCGATCGAGCCGCAGGTGGAGAAGGAAGAGAAGCAGCGCCCACCGCTATTCCCAGACGACGCGAGAACGGTCAAGGAGGCAAGAGGGGAAATGCAGAGAAGCAAGCCGGCAGAGGCGGTAAAACCAGCACCTAGTCATAACAAAATGCTCCTAATGATATAGAGGACGATTGCTCTTCGCGATTCCCTCTATCAGTGAAGTGCTTGACTAGCTCGAGCTAGAAGCTGGATACAACGTCTGTTGTGTTGTCAACACTACAGGATCTTCTCGCGCGAAAGGTACGGGGTATTGGGCTCAGCTCCCTGTGCAAGCCACGGTCAGATAAGCAAAAGGGTTCTCAGTCTGGGGTAATGTTCTACATACATTCTTCAGCAAACAATTCAACAATCAGGTGCGGCAGCATACGGCAGAATCACTGCGGCTGTGCGATAACCGGCTATAGATTCAACGCTGTACACAGAAAAAATACCGGTGTTCTCTTTGGTTGTGAGGAACTAGTAACCTGCTCGTTTTGCCGTAGAAGATGGTCAAGACAATGAACATCTGAAGCAGCGCCACATCAGTTTAGTGGTTGCGAAGGGGCTGTTCAAGCTCGGTTAGCTCGTCAGCTTCTGCATGTCCCATCGATGAACTAGGGTTCATGCTGTGAGAGTTTGATTTTCCAGTCTGACAAATATTGATGTCCCCAAGCTGACGGCGGATCGTACAGCCAATGAGATACGATGCATGTTGCGGATTGTTCATGCAGTTGCCTTCTTCGAGCTAAGCTGTGGGCGTTGCCGAGTGGGCAGGCGCCCACTTTTGTGTTCACGCATTCAGTCAGAGCACCGCCATGGGTGTATGATCATGCGGCACAAGGAAAGATTTCTATTATCCTGTTCCAGCGCCTGTCTGCACGAGCAACGTACTGTTGACTTTCCCATCAGAACACCGGATAGCCCAGGTTATCCGGTATACGACCCTCTTGAGGTACGGCGTATTGTGCAACGGCTCGTGTTCTTCCTACGGATATGTCAGAAATGCAAAACCGGTGCCCGGCACCCACACCTATCGGGACAACACAGGTTGAAAGTCTTTCCACCTAATTGTCGTTCAGGTACATAAACCAAGCCATGTCCTCCGTCTTTACAGCATCGAAAGAAACCGTCGTACCGCTCACCTCTTTCCGCGATGACCAGCATTCATTCTACCCACGATTCGGAGCACGGATATGTGCTTGACCTTCCCACACCGGGATCGCACATGTCTTCACTCTCTACACCGGCACTCACAGAAGATGAGGGGCTGAACTCGACCGCGTCGTCCCCGAGGAGCGAGCTCGAGTATAGTCTTCCACACAACGAGCAACCAAATAGCGAGCTCTATAGCCATATTCTTCCCGACGGCGCCTGTCTGTACAACAACATGCGTTCGATCGAGGGGAGGACTGTCAAACCTCCGATCTTCGGACGCGCGGTCTCCAGCAGAGAAAATGGAAGTTCACCCAAGAATAGGCCTCAGGAACAGGAAGAAGACGATTCCGAAGCAACAGAGTTGTCCAGCAACCACAGCACTTTGCTCTCATTTCATGTGCAGACCACCTGCCAGGGGCCGAATTGCGACGGAATCAGCTGCCAAGTGAAGGATCTGCCTGAACTGCAACCTTTAAAAGAGACAAAAACGTTGTGGACCAACATGAACCAACTTCAGAACGACGATGAGAATGCTTTGCCTTTGGGTTCAGACAATCCTCCAGTATCAGGAGAAGTCCCTCAAGTTCAGCCTGTGACGAAGGAACCCGTCACGCTTGAAGGCCCGAATCGTGATGATGTCCCTCCCATCACGGCGGCAAATTTCGCATACACCCCATATCGAGAGTCCTCCAGTAATGGGGTATCCAAACCAGTCACAGACGGATCGGATGATGAGGCAAAAGACGGATCGGATAAAACAGAGGAAGCGCAAGATTCTGAAAACACTTTCCAGGCGTCTTCGGTCATGGCTGGGGCGGCAGGTTGTCACGGGCCGTACTGCGATATCAAACAAAGTGAATAGAAAATGTGCAATCAATGAGATATCGTTTTGTCTTCTTCGCATTTGGGCAACCATCAAGGAATAGTTGAAAGAAATCTTGGGTCTTGTCAGAAGAGGACATGACACAAAATAGGCCAAGAGAAGCGTACTGCGCACGTGACTAGTTACGTCATCCCCCGGGATCAATCAGGCAGCCGAAATCGGCAATAAGCATGCCCCGTGTTTCCGCCGACAACGGTGACCGCAACGACGATGGCCTCAACGTCCAGGACGTCCTCTAAAAGTGTTCTACCCCAACCATATGAAACGAGAGCTGCGGAGCCGCAGCTGGGAAAGCAAAAGGGCGCTCCTCTTAGGTGGGTCTGGTCCCTGGTGAGTGTGGCACGCGACTAACACACGGTAGGACGTCGAAGACCAGCCAGAAACTGAAGGTCTTGCCCGAGCAGCCCGAGATCAAGACACAATCACAGATAAATCTTGTTGATGACATCGAGGAGGAGGATGAAGACTCAACACCCACCGACGATGAGGGCGGCGACGAAGAGGAGCGAGGCGTAGAGGTACCTGTTCCCGCTTCAAGGCGAGACAAACACTCACGACGCGTAGGTATACAATCAAATCGCGCAAATACCTGCCGGTACAGCTAGAAAAGATGCAGCACGTCTTACGAAGAAAGAGAAAGCGAAACTTCCCCGCGTAACTGCTTACTGCACTGCTACGTAAGCACATATAACCAACATATCTATCATCTGAGCTGACTTTCAAGCAGAACATATCGATTAGACGATCTGATGAAGTTCTTCCACGCCCGGCATGCCACAAACCGCACCAATCCACGCAAGTTTGACGAAGTGATATATACACCTTATACCTACGCACCGCCCGAGCCTACTACACCAGCTGCTGAGCCCCCGGTTGCCGACTTGCTGGGCATCGAGGGAACTGGGAATGGTGGGGACGTGGTCTCAGGAGATGAAGTAGCAAAGAAGAAGAAGAAGCGAAGCAGGTTTGATAAAGGAGAGGAAACAGAGACGGGGGAAATATTCTGCTTTGAATATGGTGCAGTTGTCATTTGGGGAATGAGCGAAGTACACGAGAGGCGGTTCTTGTCTTCATTGTGAGTTTCCTCAGTCACCTCCTGTTACCACGCCTTATGTTTTCTCAGAAAACGGTTCGAAGAAGAGCGCCTTGCCGCTGAAGACATCGAGAAAGAAGAGCTAAATTATTACTACGCTCAATATTCACGCATCTACAACGACGTCATCGCACTCCGTCGCGGCTCAAGTTACATGTGAGTGTATGTCAAGCATGTACACGCCCGATACTGACATAGTTATCAGGACAAAATTGTCTCTCTCGCACGCACTTGCACAATCCGTGAAGATATCATTGGTGAGTGGTGCAATTATGTGTTGGGGTTGCATGGATTAACGGACATCACAGTTCGAGGAGCTTATCACGTCAACAATCGATGATACCAAAGATATTCCTGAAATAATTTCTGAATCTGGGAAGATTGGGATGAAGCATGCCGACATCATGCAGCAGATTGGCCAGTTATTTATTCTCCGGATCAACATCAACCTTGTCGGATCTGTCTTGGACTCGCCAGTATGTTGTTTTGACACGTGATCTCCTCCACATACTAACGAAACTTTACAGGAGCTCTTCTGGACATATCCAGACCTCGAGCCGTTATATGCAGCATTCCGACAATATCTCGAGATACCTCAGCGCATCGATTTGCTAAATCAGCGGGTTGAAGTGCTCCAAGATATGCTTCAGCTGCTCAAAGAGACCGTCTCAAATCGACACGCTGAGCGCCTGGAGCAAATCGTCATTGTGCTCATAGGAATCGAGATTGGTACGTCAGACGCTGCTTGCTGTCATTTGGATCACCTAATTACATTTTCATAGTTCTGGGCCTGGCTACTATTTTCATCGACCTCTTCGCGTAATCGGGCGACTGCTTTGGATTACTGTGACATTGATGTTCCACTTTCCATCCTCTACCTATCATACATCCAAATTAATGTCTATCCAGGTTTACGTGAATACGGTGGAATGGAAGCAATGTATTCTATGTATCATAATCCAACGTGCGTATCACATGTCATATGCTGTGTGTTTTGGAGTCTTCTTCGTCGGGTCCTGCCCTCTATGTGTCGACGTCGCTAAACTACGAGCTGATCAATTCAGCTCAGTCCAAAACAACGGAGTATGCAGTGCGGATATCTCCTCTGTTTGGGACGCGGTTTTCCAGGTACCGCTCGGGCTGCCCGTATTTTCCTTCGTCAACCTCCCTGAAACTGTACTGATTTGACCATTGGGAGTAAACCGCGACCACCTCGGTGAAGGATTTTTCTTCGGCAACTGTGATGCGTGCCTCCACTTCGGCAGCGCCATTCGTCTCCGTTGTGCGAAACGCCGAGGTCTTCTTACGAGTGCCAGGGGTCTTTTCATCAGTGTCAACCGATTGCAATACGCCGGAGCACTGTTTGCCCACCTTTTTGCAGTGCTTCTCATGTTTCTTCACCGCGTCAGGTCTTGAAAATTCGGTTCGACACAACTCGCACACTGGCCGCCGGGCAGCAGCGCCGCCAAACACCAACGAGGACAAGTCGATCGCGGGATCTTCACTCAGTCGGTCTTCCTCCTCGATCAGATGTCGGTGTAGGTGGCGTGAAACTTCATACTCCCTGCTAAATATGGCGCTGCAATACTGCGCAGAACCCCTAGCAGAGGCATAGGGACATGCGAAACCGCGAATGACGGAGCCGCTGATATTCTTTTGAGACGTCTGGAGCTCTGTCGTTGGGGATGCAGTACTGGGAGCACCAGGGAGGTTTGACTCGGGTACAGAAGAGATGGGGGCCTCGTTGTGCGTGTCGTTCAGTTCAGTCACGGGATTGCACTCAACATACCGAGCAGGAACCTGGACAGAGTTCATGGCAGTTGCGGCAACTGAAGTGGTGATGGCAGAGTTAGACGGGTTACAATGCCAACCAAATTGCAATTCATTCACGTCATAATTGACCAAACCGAGGGTGTTCAACGGGTTGATTCGCAAGTGAGCGGGGATATTGATGCTTCCAGAGACCTTTGTTAGCACTTGGTCCTCAGCAAAATTTCTTCCACCTACTTGGAGGCTGTGTCCAAGTCTGCCATGTGACCCGCCATATCATTCACGAGCGCATTCTGAGACCCGATCAACATGGGCCATCCCGAGCTTCCGATGCTAAGCGCATGCTGCGACGGCTCGCCCAGGAAAGACGAAGTGTTTTGAGCAGACGCCTGAGCGAATGCATGGGTAGGCAGGGTGAAGTCGATCCCTTCGTTTAGCGTGGGAGGAATGTTGTCGATCTCGATCTGGAGCTGGAGCTGGTAGGCATCAACATCGAATGAGGAATCCATCTGCATCATGCCCCGTCAATGATTGATTCCATCTGAATGTGCACTATATCTGACCTTGGGTGCGTAGGCCACAGGGGAGGATGAGAGAGATTCTGGGGTGAGCCATACTGACGAACGAGCTGTTATATTTCATTTTCCCAGCTGGTGGCCACAGCCTGGGTGGCCCGTGACCTCTCAGCTTTGAAGATAATTCGACAGGGAAACGAGGCAGAAAACAGGTGATTTGGCAGACCAGCGGCGACCTTTCCGAGCGTGACGCTGCGAGGTCCATCGGAGACTAAAGCGGAGTCTATACCAAGTGTTGTCCACACCGCTTGTCGATGCCAGGGGTGGTGGTCAGTATTCCCTGTTTTGCTGATTTCCAAAGTCTATTGGGTCAAAGTTAGGATGTGACCACCTGAGTTACCTCATATTTTTTGGTGTTCTGACGGTACAATCAATGATTCGAGCTACTCGCGCCAATGATCATGATTTTTTCTCCGTCCTCCATCGTCTACTTCTTGTATAACCATCTTAACATCCATGAGGATATGTGTCCTTGTGCTATCTACATGATTGTCATACCGCAGTCTAAACTTCAAACTCCGCGTTTTTGGTCGGTGTGACCAGCTCGGGTCCTTCCTCTCCTCCGGGCGCTCCTTCTCCTTATTTTCCTCCTTCTATCGGTCTGTCTTCTTCTCCTTAAAGCACAAAGACTCCACGATGGTCTCTTTCCTCGCATCATATTGGGCCTTCTTAACAATGTTGAGCAAGGTTGCCGGACTACTAACTGCCCGGGCAAGTGGGAGAGCCTTTTGATACGCTTGGAAGACAGTGGTATAGATGCAGGCAGCCTGGCCCGTGGATAGACCAGGCGGTCGGAGGTGTTCAAAGGCACGGTGGCTCTGATGGTCGCGTGTCGAATGCGGGCGGGGTTCCATTAAGCGCGCAGTACATGGCGGTGGATATTTGCCTCCATTGTTCATCCTGGCTTCCTTCTTCCTTCAGATGGCTGCGGATGGCAACACCCGAAATGAGGGCGCTTTTTGCCAGGGAGGTGGTTAACATCAACTCGTGGCACGGTCGATCGGGCCACGAGGCTCTGCCTTTTGCCATTAGGGTCGCCTTCGGTATTTTGGTATTACCGTTTCATCTGCTCGATTCGTTCTGCGTTCTCCACAGTCTACCTATCGTACAACCATCTTAACGTTCATGAGAGAGAGGGGGGGGTAAACGCGGAGATGCAGAGACCTTAGATCGTCCACCTCGTAATCCTACATACCACATGCCAACCGATTAGTCCATACCTTAAGCTTCCCGTCTCTTGGTTGGTGTTGCTCGGTCTCCCTCCTTACCCTTATCCGGGCGCTCCTTATCTTTTTCCTTCCATCTCTCTTTCTCTTTCTCCTTCTCCTTCTTCTGCTTGAAGCACAAAAACTCCACGCTCGTCCCTTTCCTCCCGTCATGCAGGGTCTTCTTAACAGCGTCAAGCTCAGTCTGCAAGTTTGCCGCGCCCACTCCACCAGCCGGAGGCGCCTTCTGGTACACTTGGGAGATGGTGGTGTAGATCTCACCCAACGTAGCAGCCGCTTCGGGCGAAACGTACTGTAGCATAGTTTGATGGAAGAACTCGATCTCCAAGGTAGCCTGAAAGAATTTATCAATAAGGGCCTACAAAATACACAAATTTACGCACAGCTAACATGCCGCCCATGCCGAATCGCGTGACTTGCTTGAAACATGCCAGGGCTTCGACAGCGATAGACATGACCAGAGAACTAAGCGTGCGCTCCAGCAGCGGCCGAGCCATCAACGACACCTGCGAATGGATTTGAACGAGGTAAATAAGGGCATCATACATGTATGATCGGACCTCTGCAATACATGAGTACACTGATGGATCTCTAAACAAATACGCACCTTGAGGCCGTCCAATTGTTGCCCAGTCCATCCCGCTCCCCAACACTCCACGCCTGATGATACCTGTAAGGACCGCAGCCTTGCTCTTTGCAAAGTCGTCAAATAGCGTCTTGTCCAGTTCTTGCACGACATCGGAAAGAGTACCACGATCCTCGGAAAGCTTGGAATGGGACGCCTTTTCGAGATCGGACATCATTCGCGGGATTAGCTCTTTGTCGAGGTGGTAGAGGTTCGAAACAGTAACCAGGATACGGTTGTCCTTACGTAATATCCGTTAGCTCCGAGACAGATCAAAGGGGGAGAACAAGGGCTTACTACGTCCGATTCCGTGTCATTCGCGGATCCAACTGGTTCTCCATCCTCACTGGCGAACCTCACGAGCCCATCCAAAATACTATACAAACTATCCAAGAAAGCAGTCTTGATCCTATTAACGTACGGTGCGGGCGGGAGCTTGTTCTTCTCGCCGAGAGAGGGGGAAGCGAGCTTGAAGCACAGGGAGGCGTTGTGTTGCTGGAACTGGCGGACGCGGTCGAGGTATGCTGGGGAGGCGGTTATGGAAGTTGGACCAGACGTGGGTGGGACGAAGGTGAACGACTCTAGGTGATGGAAGAGCTTCGAGTCTGATAGGCTGGATTCAGTGTGCAGAACAGAGCGAGGGAGTAATTGCATACCATTATGCCACGCATCGCACAGAACGTCAACATATCTCCATCTGGCGGTTTCCACAAGTCCCTTTAACCCCTCTCCAGCCTCTCCACCTCCTCCCATCTCTAGCCCCACCACATCACCCACACAATCATTCAGTTCTCCCAGTAGCTTCTCTAGGTACTGTGCGCTGGTGAGGGAGTTCGTCGCTGGAGGGAGGAAATGGAACGTGCTGCTGGCGAGAGGAGAAGAATTCGGGTCCGAGAGGGAGAAATGCTGCGAAACGAGGGAGACGTACAACCTTGTCAGCTCAAGGGACATAGTGCGTATCTGGGCTGGGGCACGACGCGTGCCCGAGGCGGTGGGAGAGGTGCGCTTGAATCGGCCTTCGGTCCAGCCTCTGGCGATCTTCCAGAATGCGGGGAGGGAGGAGACGAGGACTTCTGAGAGCTGCTTGACAAGGCTGAGATTGGATTCCCAGACTTCCCAGCCGGTGCCTTTCGCTGTGCAAGTTCGTGCGTCAGGAAGTTCATCGCACCTTCTTTGAAAGCGGGACAAACCAATAACAGCTTCCCCATTTCTCTCATCCAATGCTAATACACAAGCCTTGAGTACCTGCGCCCTCTCCTCTTCTCCCATGACCTCAGACGCCGCCCTCTCCCGTGCTAATTTCACCCTCTCCGCCATGCGTTCATACACCGCCCTAAGCCTATCTGCCATCCTCTGATGCTGCGCGTCAAAGTACGTCCACACAGGGTCTTCAGGCCCGTCGAGTTCCAGGAGCATCTCGATCGTCTTCTCTACTTCGTCTACGGGGACTCCGGGCTCTCGCAGGCGCGAAAGAAGGTTGTCACGCAGGTCGGCGATGATCCGCTCTACGGAAGTCCATACTTTGTCAAGGATGCGTGATTCGGTGATGCCTATGTTTGGTGGTGGCCGCTCGCGGACCGCCCGCCCTTTTTTATAAGAGCGGATCGCGAGGTCGTATTTCCCCTGCAGAACATTAGGATAAGATGGACGAGTGAGGAGAGACTCACCGCGTCTATCGCTTCATTCAGCACGCTTGGTAGGTTGAACAGGTACTTGGAACGTGAGAAGACTGCCAGAGTGGAGCGTAACTTTGTGGCACTTGATGATGCCTCTAATATGGGGATGAACACCTGGTTAGCCTTGGATGATGCCTCTGTTACTTATTAGCCTCGTTCACCTAGCACGGGAAGGGCATACGTTTCAGCGCAGCAGTAAGGTCCTTGGTCTTATAGTCTGTCTCCTGCGAGAAAGAGCTCGTAATGCTCTCCCCAATAGAGCTCGTACTGCTCTTAACAGCAACAAAGCGGTCAAAGTTCTCTTCTACTAGGATGCGGATGGCCTCGCTCCGACTATCGATGGAGGCTTGAAGACGGGGTATGGCGGATGCGAGGTCGGAGTAAGATGCTGAAGGGTAGACGTGCATGAGATAGGATTTAGGGTCGAAGGACTTGGAGGTAAGGAGGATGGAGGCGCCTATGTTGTAGGTTATGAGAGGAGTACTCAGTGCACGCTCAACAACGTACGGGTCTCCAAGTCCAGCTTGCCGAGACTAGGCATCAATTAGACAGATTTACAGAAGAAGAGGTAGAAAACTCACTCGACTCCCCTCCCTCTCCCTATGCCCAAAGCGTCCTCCTCCGCCTCCCTAGCTATAGGGTTCGCAACACCAGCTACGATCCCGTTCTCGTCCAGATCATGTTCTATATCTTCCCATGCTTGGGGCTCGAGGGTGTGGATTCGGTAGGCTTTGAGGACTGTGAAATGTTGTCAGTACGAAATAGTGGGTTGATCCAGAGCGCTTACGGGCTGCTTGGTCGGCTTGGAGGTTGAGGGGTGCCATGCAATATGAACGAGACTAAGGAGTGGGAGAGTGGGCAGACGATCATCATCAGGGGGGATCAGGGTATGCACCGCCACGCGAATTGTCTGTAACGACGAGCCTCATCGGCGATAAGCGCACGCACTGCATGGAGTACTGTATGCGGAGTTTCCATGCACAACGGCGACCACAACAACTCAACTTCAAGGACCGCCCTCTCAATTGATTCTTCCCCACCCGTGTGAAATACCAGCTTCGGAACAGCACCTGGCAAATCGGAAAGGCTTTCTTCTTACGTAGTGAGGCTGGTGTGAGAGGCTGCGGCCGCTGATGACGATAATGCTTAGTACACGTCGAAGACCTGCCAGAAACGGAAAACCGGCGGGAGACCGCGGGCCTTTTTTACAGGGTTCCCATACGTGGAGGAGATTCTCTTCGCGAAGGTTACGGATTGCATGACGGGATCGACGCGGGAGAAGCTAACGGAGCCGCCTTGTCATGCCTCCCATCCCTGCCCTGAGGCGGCTTCTTCCCCACCTCTGTCCTGTGACAAGAAGTTCTTAACCTGGGCCCTATGACGATCAACACTATGTAGAACGTCTCGGGCAGTCACTGTCCGACAGACAACTCAACATGGACTCACCACCCCAGCTTGTCTCTCCATGGAAGGTGGCCTGCTTCAAGGATGGTCCGGAGGCCACGACCCTCGATGACTTTCGTATGCTTCTCGAGCACGCTTACAAAGATGATCCTCTGCAGATCATTATCGACCTCAATCGATGGGCCGATACTCCCCCTGTTCCACTCACTGGGACGAGGATGACGGACATTACCAGCTTTTTGTTCGAGCAGTTCCATCTACGTCGAACGCATGAGCTGGTCTTCCTCTCTGACCCGCGAGCACCAGAGCCCAAGCTGACTAACGTGGTCTGGGGTGACAATCCGCCCGACGATCCATATGTACTTGGCCAATTCTACTGCCCTGTCACTGGCCTTCCTCTCGGCACTCTCGAAAACCTCGTCATCATGTTCGGCACTTTTGCACACACAGGTCGAATCAACAACTTCTTCAGGAATTGCACTAACCTGCGATTCATGACGATCTGGTCGAATACCACCCCCAGAAGCACACGAAGGCTCAATATGCCACCGAACGCATCCAGTATCAATCCTATCAATTTGAAAAAGCTGGTTCACGCGGACCTCACGCTTTCCTTCGCTCGATGTATCGAGGAGATGCGCTTCCAAATGCCGGCACTTGTGCATCTCCCAGTGGTGTTGGACGACTCGTCCTCGCCCGCCGAGCACATGATCTTTTCCTTCGCTCGAAGCATCAGGATCGCAAAGCTCGCAGGTGCATACTCCGACGAACACCTAGAGACCTTCGTCCGAAACCACTGGAACGTCGAAGGCCTCGTGCTCGACTGCTGCCCCGTCGGGGCAGCATTCGTCGACTTTCTCACCAGTCCCTCGCTGCACGCGAGGTACTTCGCCCTCAACCTCACCCATCTTTCGATTCGCGCCAGCTCGATAGGAGACAGCAACGTGCTCCGGATCTGCCAGCAGCGGGAGAGGCTGCAGATATGGCTCATCGATTGCCCGAACACGAGTGTGGGGCTAGGGGCACATCAGACGAATGGGAGGGTGACGAGGCATGCTGGGCAGGAAGAGTTCTGGAAGGCCAGGGAGGCAAGTGGGAATCCCGATTATCCCCTGCCGAGGATGGATGCAGGCCTCCAAAGGGAGCTGTATATGACGGAGCCCGAGCTGTAGGAAGAGCGGCAAGGAAGGTATGATGAGCGAAGATACCAGGCTGGTTCAGCTTTCATCATTGTATATCCTTGATCATGCCACTTACGTGTTCTTTTTTGTCCGAATACCTTGCCCTGACTATCTTGTAAGTACATTGATCTCGAATCTTCTAATTCAATGACCGATTCGTTACCGATTCCTCACCGAGCCATTACCAACTTCACATTTTCGGAGCCGAGCTCAATATCCTCACAATTCTTCGAAAGGTAATAGTAACCTACGAGCGCCAGCAATGTCTGATGAGTATGGGATCAGCACTTTGCCTACATATTCCTTTCATGAATGGTGTGTTGGACAAATGGGGGTAGTGCTCTTCCCTCGGACAACTGTCAAGCGCAAGAATCCCGACTCGTTTTTGCGAAACAGTTTACCAATGTCAAGTTTATCGGTGTAAGCCTTTGCCCATTAAGTTTACCTATTCGCCTTTTCCATCCACTCTCCTGTGATCCCAGCGCTAACTCTCTAACTCTTCGGGCACTCAGTCCTCACCATTACTTGTTACATAAGGCTAAAGGAATAATGTTGTTTGTTGGAGCACGTTCCATGGCTTCGGCCGGGAGCTTATTTAAACTTGAATTCACCCAGAACGGATCAGGTGGATAGATCAGTTCTGATGAGGCAGAAAAATCAACCTTGTTGTGGCGCCTAAGTCAATTTTTGTGTGGCTGCAAACTCCGCTTAAGCGGGGCGGATAAATGGACATTAGCGAGATAATTCAACTTCGATGGTAGACTAATCAGACTTGGGCGAAGTGGATAGCGAAACTCCGGTGAATCGGAAAAAAAATTGGTGAGGCGTCAACGTGGAGGCGGAGTTTCGCAAAAGACGGCGATTCGCCACGGCAGAACTTATGAAAGGCGGCACTTGACATTGGCGGACGTGGCGTCTAAATACTTTGGCGGAAACTGGGAGTTAGGAACCGAAGACTGCAATCGATTTTGTCAGTCCAATATTCTGATCGAAACTAGGGGAGTTAGGGTGGTAGTTAGCCGACTTTGGCGGACAACACTTGATGTTTGGGAAAGGCTGCAATCGAGTTGGATAAATGCTTTGGTGGAACTGACAAGAGTTATCGGTCTTGCATCCCTCAATAACGCTCTCCAGTCGGTCAGTTAAATCTGGCTCTGATTCATGCAGACCTTTTTTTGCGACTCTGGAATGGACTTTGGTTGTCACGTCTCGGTATAGCTGCAGATGATGGAAGGCGAAAGAGCTTGTGTCCAGCTCGGAGCCGAGTTCTCCGCATGCCCTTTTCCACTCTCCCTTGCTATGTCCTTACTCTCGCAACTCACCTCCGCACCTCTTCGTGTAAGATGTCCGTCGACCCTTCGCAAGTTCCTCTACCCTCTCATCATGTCCACCCCCCGTACCACACGCACCACGCCCACACCCACGCCCACCCACATCCCACCGAACCCACAACACCAACCCTCCCTCTAGGCATGCGGATCCCCGATCTTCGGTTCGAGCAAGGCTACCTCAAGGCTATCTCCAAGTATGTCCCTTCCCTCCTCGGAGCTGAGGGGGGGACCAAGTGGGTTGGGGTGGGCTGGGTGACGCTGAGGGATCAGCTGTTGAGTCCTTTTCTTCAGGGGGCGGTACTGTGAGTTCTCCTTCGAGTTCTGGTGCTCTCTTTGCTCGAAGTCAAGTCTTAGATTATGGGACTGAGAGTACTGGGTATCCAAGATGCTAATTATGGTATATAGTGGTGCTGCCCAATCGCTTCTGTTCCCTCTCTTTCCCCGCGTGAGGAAAGCGATCTTCAGCAATGGCTCCCCCGCTCCTGCGGACAGAGCGAGCGGCACGCCCTGGCTGAGGAAGTTGTTCGGGTCACTATTGCCTGCCAGTGCTTGAGTGCTTGAGTGCTTGAGGAGTAGGATGTGGGATGTGGGAAAAGTTAGAGGTCGGGCTTCAGGTGCTGAGCTGGGAGTGTGGGGTCTGGTGTGGAGAGGGGAGAAAGGGGAAGGAACTCGTTCACCCACATGTATCTTGAGAAAGTAATCCATAACCATCTGAACCACACCATCTGCGACTTGTGCTTCCTCATTACCCGCAGGGCCTTCACGTACTCGGAGGGGAAGAGCGAGTACCGGGCGGAAGGGGTGGGGTGGAGGGGGAGGAAGTAGGAGATAAGGGAGGTGTATTTGTTCCACAGGGGGGAGGAGAGTAGCGTATATGCTGGTGGGAGGGCGGAGTGCAGTGCGAGAGGAAGGGATGCGTGGTTGACGTGTCCCGATACGCCGAGTGTGTCGAACGTCAGCAGGAGGGTGACGTTGTCGTGCTCGTGGAGGAAGGCGTTCAGGTGCTCTAGGATGACATCGGAGGACCAGGAGACGGACATCGAGTCTGGCAAACGACTGTGACAGCGTGAGCCTGGGTCAACGACTGAAGTCGGGACGTACGTGTCATGCAGCACGTTTACTCTCCCTCGCCCTATTCCCAACTCCTCCGCTGCATCTCCTATCTCAGCTCTGCGCACCTCTCCCAGCCCCTGCGCATCCCCCACACTCAAACACAAGATCCACACTTCCCATCCGGCTGTGATGAGCGAAAGCAGCGTAGGAGCGAAGAACATGGACTCGTCGTCCGGATGTGCGGTTAGGAGGAGGGCTACGGGAGATGGAGGGGCGGGGAAGGGGAGGTTTGAGGAGGGGAGGGGTCCGTATAGGAGGAAGAGGGGTAAGCATAGGAGGACGAGGAGGAGGACTGTTCGGGCTCGCAGGGGTGGCATTGGCGTTGCTTGTTGAGGTTGAGTCGAAGTTGGCAATTGGGATACACCTCGTTCGACTGCCCGATTCGGTTAAGAGTTGTGAGAACCGCAGGCGCCTAAAACATGTATTCTCAGATAACGATTCGAATATGTTGATATTTAGTGAAGATACTTCGAATACAAATGTATGGTCAATGTATTCGTGAGAACACTGAAGTAAGAATATCAGTCATAATCTCCGCAACTCCGAAGGTCATTGATCCCGTGATCAGAGACCACCCCGCCATCATCTTTGATAGAGTTTCTGTTTCCCAGGCCTTTGCAGATCTTTGATTATTCCGCAGGTGATTAGCTCCAACGCACCTCTCTCGTACCCTCGGAGAACTGTACAAACGACGACAGAGGACCTCGTGATCTCCTAGCAAATGACAAATGGAAAATAGCACATGGGTCCCCGCTCCCGCCGCTCTCTGTTCTTGCAGCCCTCAAAGGTCGCCTCGGCTCTCCAGGACATTGGTCATTCTTCGCGCTTGACAGGCTAGGGGAAGGTCAAACAAGCGTCTCGCACCACTCTTGATCCAGGAAGTTGCACACCGAGGGTTATATAGCACGTCTCGGACTTTGCCCGAGCTGGCCGATGTCCGGGATGTACGATGCTCGTGTAGATGAAGGGAATGGTTCCCCCTGTTGCAAAGTCAGGTTCTTGCAAGACATACCGTAAACAGAGACTGATGAGTTCTCTGTTCCGTATCCGTATCCACCATCCATATCCATGTCCTTTCCGGATGAGGACCCACCGTCCGTCTCTTTGCTGTCGGGGTATGTACGCTGCCTAGCGTTAGATAAGCTGCGCTAACAGGTTTAAACAGGTTGGGACTTTCGACTTTGCTATCGCACAAGCAAGTGACGCGGGCGGTTCGAGATTGGGCTTGGGAGGGAGGGGAGTCTAGAAGAACTTACGTGGTCCGTCAGCTTTCGAGGTTTGAACGATCTGGTGAAAGGACGACCATGGTTGTCGGTGCTTATCAGCGTTTGCGTCATCCACATCAGTGCAGTGACAACATCGTCATCCGGAAACAGAGGGAACCATAGTCCAGCAAGTTCTTATCAAAACCTCCCGAGAGCTCTATCACCCGTACCAGAACTAGAACTAGAACTGTACTCGCGGCACCTGCTTGCGCGAAGGGGCATCAAGGCACGCTCAGACGCGGATAAGCAGCAAGGGACCGGGGTTGGACTTCGGTGCCGAGACCTTGGGAGTGTGCCTTTTTTTCGGGGTTTGGGGGAAAGGGGGGTCCGAGGTGCCGTGCTGGCTTGCTGGCCTGGCTTGCGATTGTTAGGCACTAGGGAGGTTCGTTGGACTGCAGGCATAGGAGGGAAGGGGGAGATCTGGTTTGGGATAGGTGACGGACTGATAGCGGTGATCTCGCGGTAAAGAGATGGTATGCAGTACTGGCGTGTAATGGCAAGCGAGTGCTATGCCGGTGATTGATGAATCAGTGGATAGGAATAAGTGAGCGCTGCAGTACTGTTAGTCCGCAAGAGCTCGCCGTCAGTACTAGTACTCGCCAAGCGCACTCCGTAGGTGCAGCGGGCGCTTCGGCATCCCGGCTCTTCTTCACCCCCAAAGGGAATCTGAATCCGTTTTACGAGAATGAAAAGGATCCGTTACATGGGGAGATGGTGGGTGGTGTGTTCGGTTCTCTTTATTGATCTGTTCTGTGGAACTCGTCGCTCCCGCAAAGAGTGACAGTCGCAGGCAGGTAAAGGCTCGCTCCCGAACTTGACTGCATATATCCCCCCGAGAGCACCCTCTTCCCTCCTTCACCCCTCCCCCGATGGCCACTCCCATGTCACCCACCCGCAAGCTCACTCACTTCCTCGCTCATCACGCCTCCGCATCCCCAATAGAATGTATCGTCCTAACATTCATCGGGGCCACCCTTGCCTACTTCCAGCTGCTACACGCCTTCAGCTCATGGGACGTCTTCCCTTCCCTCTCCGCCTCCCTCGCCCAACCAGCAGAGCTCTCCTCCGTCGTCGTACTCCATCATCCTGGGCAGGCGTGGCAGGTCGTCGGGGACGATATGTGGGAGAAAGGACGACGAGGGGAGTTGGGGGAACTGAACATGCTCTGGTTACGACAGGTCGAGGCTGTTTCACCTTCTGGTTCTGTGCTAGGGATGAACGATACTTGGGCACAAGGGGCGATCGACGAGTTGTCCGATTATGTGACGCATGATCTTTCTGTTGGGGTGAATGGGCTGTCTTATGCTAGGGATCTTTGCTATGTTCCTCCTTTGAAGGAAGACGAGTCTGCTCTGTCGGAATGCGTCAACCCTGCTATAGGAGGTGGCAACACGCTTTCACTCTTATTCTCTGCTCAGCCTTCAACGCTCCCTCGAACGGCTTCACCAAGGCTTACATCATCAGACTTGTCAACATTGCATCGTTCTTACTTCTCTCGTCTCCTCTCACCTTCTCTTCCCCCGTCAGACCCTTCCTCTCCTCACCCAATCGCCTTTTCTCTCCTCACCAGCACACCACCAGCCTACTCACTCCGTGCCACACTCCACCTGCTCAGCGCACGCATCACCTCCCTCGCTCAGAAGGCAGACAGCGCAGACATATTCGTTCTCCTCCTCGGCTATGTCCTCATGCACCTCACCTTCCTCCACCTCTTCTCCTCCCTCCGCCGCCTAGGTTCAAAACTATGGCTAGGAGTAGGCGTCCTCGTCACAGGCTGCTTCGCCTTCCTCGCAGCGCTCTTCGTCTCCCACCTCCTGGCACTCCGAGTCGACCTTATCCAGCTATTCGAAGCCCTCCCCTTCCTAGTCATCACAGTAGGGTTCGACAAGCCCCTCACCCTCACACGCGCAGTCTTCGCCCATCCCGCCGCTCTCCACCCCTCCAACCCCAAAGTCCCAGCCTCCACCGTCGTCGTCACCGCCGTCAACCAAGTAGGCGCAGGGATCGTCCGCGACTACGCGCTCGAGATCGCCGTCCTGGCACTAGGAGCAGCCTCCGGCGTCGGAGGGCTAAAAGAGTTCTGCCACCTCGCTGCGCTCATCCTCGCCGCGGACTGCTGTCTCCTATTCACGTTCTACGTCGCGGTACTGAACGTGATGGTCGAAGTGCAGCGGATAAAGGCAATGAGGGGCAAGCTCCGCCCGCTGGAGACTCATACCCCTGGGACTGGCAAGTCGGCCCAGCAGACCCCGGTCACTCCTGTGCTGGGGCACAAGATCTCACGTGCAGTGTTCGGCGAGCCCGTGGACGATAAGGCCGAGAATCCCGTAGCGAGGCTCAAGCTGCTCCTTGTAGGTCCCACCTCGCACGCATGCAGATACAGTCCTAACCCCTCTGCGCAGATCGTCTCCTTCCTCGTCCTTCACGTCCTGAACCTCTGTACGACACTCACAGAGCACACGCACACGGCACACAAGCCCCACCCAGTCCTGCCAAGCACGAGCCAGCGAGTGCCCATCTCCCCTCTCTCTCCCTCTCTCGCTCCCGTCCTCTCCCACCTAATCGCTCTCCACCCTCCCACATCCTCCATCCTCGTCCACCTCTCTCCTCCCCTCCGCGTCGCCCTCACTCCCTTATCCCAGCTCGCCTCTGACCAGCAAGGGGAAGCCTCGGGATCCCTAGCCTTCATAGACGAGTTCATGTCCGAGTGGTCGCACCTCGTCGGCGATCCTGTCCTGAGCAAATGGATCGTCCTTGCACTGGCAGTATCGGTATTTTTGAACGGGTATTTGCTTAAAGGGCTTGGGACAGGTCTGGGTGGGGTCGTACAGGTTGCGGGGGGGGCGGGTGTGTTGCCGCCTTTGGAGGGGAAGGAGGATATGGGTGGGGAGAGGGAGAGGGAGAGGGAGGTGGACCGAGAGCGTGAAAGGGAGAGGGAGAGGGAGAGGGAGCGAGAGGAACCCCCCTCATACCCTCACCCCGCTCAGGAACAGGAACGAAAACACCGACCGGCAGTCGTTGCCCGCGCTCTGGACCTGGAATTCGCAAGACCGACATCACCCCTTCACCCGCTGAACGTAGCTGAAGTCGATAGGCTGCTCGTCCCTCCCCCGAGGCACGCGCACGTCCCTCCTCTTTCCGTGTCCGTCCCCTCCCTCCCCCTCCCAGAACGCGAAGAACTCGTCCGCAATACCCCTCTCGGCACTCCCCTAGGCGACAAGCCCTCCCTCGGCCGGAGGTCGTACGACGAGTCCTCGGCAGTGTTCGACGCTGAAGGCGCTTCGGCAGTGAGTGACGAAGAGCTCATCCTCCTCTCCCAACGTGGGCGTATCCAGCCCTACGCGCTGGAAAAAGTGCTCGAAGACCTAGATCGCGCAGTGCGCATTCGCAGAGCTCTTATCTCCCGCTCGAGCGCTACCAAGACCCTGGAGCACTCTCTCCTCCCTTATGCGAACTATGACTATTCCCGTGTTCAGGGCGCGTGCTGCGAGAACGTCGTCGGGTACATGCCTGTCCCGCTTGGGATCGCAGGCCCGCTAACGATCGACGGTGTCTCCGTCCCTATCCCTATGGCCACTACAGAGGGCACGCTGGTCGCTTCCTGTTCCCGCGGGTGTAAGGCTCTCAACGCTGGCGGAGGGGTCACTACCGTCCTTACCCAGGATGCGATGACCCGCGGCCCGGCGATCGATTTCCCAACACTGGCGATGGCTGCTCAGGCTAAACACTGGGTTGACAGTCCTAAGGGCAGCGCCATCATCCGGGACGCGTTTGACAGCACTTCCCGTTTCGCGCGTCTTCAGAGCCTCAAGTGTGCCCTGGCGGGGAGGACGATGTATGTCCGGTTTGCGACTAGTACGGGGGACGCAATGGGCATGAATATGATTTCCAAAGGAACGGAAAAGGCGCTGGAAGTGATGAGCGAGCATTTCCCCGAAATGACGATCCTCACACTTTCGGGCAACTATTGTACGGATAAGAAACCGGCGGCGATTAACTGGATCGAGGGGCGCGGGAAGAGTGTCGTCGCTGAGGCTGTTATTCCTGGTAAGACGGTCAAGAGCGTCCTCAAGACCAGCGTGCAGGATCTGGTCAACCTGAATATCAAGAAGAACCTGATTGGGAGTGCCATGGCCGGCAGTATAGGCGGGTTTAACGCCCATGCCGCCAACATCCTCACGGCGATATTTATTGCTACTGGCCAAGATCCCGCACAGAACGTCGAGAGCTCGAATTGTATGACTCTGATGGAAGCGATAAACGATGGCCAGGACCTGCTTATGACGTGTACGATGCCCTCTGTCGAGGTTGGCACTGTGGGCGGGGGGACTGTCCTCCCTCCTCAGCAATCGATGCTTGAGATGCTTGGGATCCAAGGCGCACATCCCACTTCCCCGGGGCACAACGCCCGCCAGCTCGCGCGCATCATCTGCGCCTCAGTGATGGCTGGCGAGTTGAGCCTGCTATCGGCTCTTGCGGCTGGACACCTGATCAAGGCGCATATGAAACATAATCGCTCTCAGCCACCGACGCCGCTTGCCACTCGCCCGAGTACGCCGGCACCTTTTTCCGTCTTGCCCCATTTGGCGGAACGTAGGCAGTTCCCGAGCAGTCCTTTGAGCTTGATGCCTTTGCAGCCGATCCCTGCTCCTGCTGCGGAGGAGAAACGGGCCTCATAGGGTCTCTTCCTTGCCTTGATCCGTTCTGTTGCATTCATTCATTCATTCAGTATCATGTCATCCACTGTTCGCATCCTCTATCTTGCTGAGTTGTTCATTAGTTTGCCTGCTATCCCACCACGCGCCTCGGACAGTATGCGCAATCCAAAATCCTTGCATTCCCCTTCCTGCGTCTGCATCTCATACCTCATACCCCTTCTTCCTATTCATGCCAAACCTGTCTGATGCTGTCTGATCTTCTGCCCTTTGAGGCTTTCAGCTAGCTCTTTTCTTAGATCTTAGATGTAACGAGCCACATGAAATGGGATTCGTTGAAGATGAACGCGTGTGTGGTCATTGTTGACATTGTGTGTGGAGTGTACCAAGGAGGGGCACTTGGAAGGGGAAGTAATTACTGTACATTGACTACCTGTAGGGACCCGGTTGAGAGAGTCTGCCCGATCTATCGAGATCAGGTTGAACTGTTGCTCCTCTTAACTTATCATTCTCGTCCATCTCCTTCCTTCCGTTTCGCTCTTTCGAGCTCAGGCGAGGCTGATCTCCACGACCGAGAACTCGGAGCGCGTCGGCCAGATCTTGACTACTTTCATCCCGACTTCTGCGAGTAGGGAGTCCCACTCTGCGGGCGTACGCTCCTTGGCCTTGAAATTGCAGAACATCTCAATATCGTGCGTCTGCGTCAATCACATATCAGTACGACTCCAGCAACTTTCATCTATGGACGTACGAGCTCGATGACCTGAGGACCGTTAGGCAAGGGCCAGGGCGTGGCTAGCTCGGTATATGGCTTGCTGTTGTCCATGAAACCGAGCACGAGAGGCGTCTTCTCCTTGGGCATAAGCGGTGGGTAGATCACGTGCTCGATAATGAGCAGGCGGGAGGAAGGAAGCATCGCGTTCTTGAGAGCGTTGAGAATAGCAACGCACTCCTCATGCGGCCAGTCGTGACTAACGAAGTTAGATTTGTCACCACACGTGGGAGGAAGAGACTCACATGATGCAGCGCATGACATACACGTATCCCTCGCCCTTCAAGGGTTGAGGAGTGAAGAAGTTGTGGCTCTGGAATTTGACACGTTGCTCGTTGTAGATTTCGGGCACCTTTGTCTTCCACATCTAGGCAAATCAATTAGCCAAACAGCTGGGGGGGAAGATTTTTCCTACCCTGTGCGCGGCCTCTTCGACTTCGGGGCGATCCTGGTCGACAAACTGCAGATGCGGGTGTGCCTTGGCAATCGACATCACGAGACCACCCTCACCACCGCCGATATCTACAACAGTTGTGCCCTTCGGAAGATCCTTCCAGGGATAGTCTAATACAGGTCAGCAGGGAGGCTTTTGATGAAGTGGGATTTGACTGACCGGTGACGATGCCCACAGCCGCGATCTCGTAGCAACCCGTCATAGCGCTGGTGAACACATCAAGCCATTTCGGGTTCTTCTCCAAGAAAGCAAACTGGTCCGTGTCGAACCCGAACGCCAGCTGGGCGGCAGTCTTAGACTGCTCCACGCGTAGAGAATCGACCACTCGGTGTGCCACAGTCAGACCCCAGTCTGCCCTGCAAGCCAATCAGCATAGCAATACGATAGACCTAACTGCGACACTGACACGTAGCGGATAGCGTAAGGAGCGGCGTAAGGAGAGATCAAGGACATCGAAACTCGATTATTGGCAAAGCGGCCCTCGGACACCTCCCTGAACTAGATAGAAATAGTCAACAACTGAAGGACTTTTATTTCTCTTCAATGACTTACAAAGTGATGCGAAGCGAGCATGCGCATTTCGCGTTCTGAAAGATCGTCAGGTGAATTGCTTGTACAATACAGATGACTGCAGCTCACTGAACGGGTCTGGACTCAGCCCAAATCGCTTGGCGAGCACTGCAGAGTCAATGCATTCTTCAGAATCAGCTGAAGGCTCTGCAAGGACACCAGCGACATTGTACTGGGTCGCCATCTTAAGTGCCTGAGAACGCTGGTGTGCCCATCCCTCTTCGATAATCTAGGGAGCCAGTTAACAAATATGGATCAACATAACAACACGACTACACACCTTCTCCGTAGGTGGCTGGACCGCCGCGGCGATCATGCGGCAAGCACCAAGAATAACACGCCTAGCTTCAAAGAGCCTAGGAGCCTGAAGATAGTCGGGCTTGTCTAGAGGGTGCATCTGAGGCTTGGCGACCCAGAGCGGCGGCAGACCAGCAGCGTCAAGCTCATCCTCCAGAATGTCCAGCGCATTGTTGAGGATGGACCGCAGAGCCTTGATTTCAGACATGATTAGAGGAGCAACCGAGGGTAGTACAAGGTCAATAGTGAAAGAACTTGCAAAGCGAGACAGCGTTGCGGTATTTGAGGCCAGGGCTTGATTTCCGCCAGCTCGGCTCTCCTCACCCGCTCTGCCAAGCTTGCCTGGCTACTACCAAGATTAGATCCTAAACGTTGGCAGATCACTTGTGCTGGATTCGGATGACCGCGGTATTGTTACCACACGAATCCATCGCCGGCTAAACGGAAGTCGGAGGCGAACTTCGCGACTCCAAAAAATTCTGGCCTTGGCCTTCTCTGACTCATGACAAAGGCATCATTGGGGAAGCCTCAGTTCATGGGCAAAGGCATAAATAGTGGTGTGAATCTACCGAATATGATCAGGGCTCTCCAATAAAGCAGAGATAGGGCAGGCTGACATATGAGTTCGCGGGCGTTAGCTAACCGGCGTTGCAGTAAGACTGAGGAAACACCGTGAGAAATCCAGGCTGTAAATAGCAACCCACTACTGTCCACATCTTAATCATCCTTCCAGCAAGCTCCGAAAGAGCGTAAAGGAGTGAGATAGGCGTATAGGTTCTTAGATAGCAGCTGGGGAAAGCTGCCAACCAGGGTGGAAACGAAGCAGGTTACGTAAAACAAAAAATCAATTACCCGCCTACCAATACAGTTGTGAGAGATTGCGGGGAAATTGATCATTCCGAAGTTCGCTTCATTCCATCGGGTACATAGTGTTCCGTACAGCAGCTCCTAATGTATAGGATTCTACAAATCCCTTACGATACATAGTACATGGAGCTGCGGTAGCGGGGGTCAGTCAGTCATACATTCTAGAAGAAAGTAGGCTCCACGTACTCATGCAAGTTCTTCTTCTTCGTTCTGCAGTCTCGTCCTCGAACGTGTTCGTGGACGGGAAGTGCTGGCGGAAGCGTCTAGAGAGGTCTCTCCAGGCTCTTCTTTCAGGCCCAGCTCTTCTTTGACATTAGACTCCTCTTTCATTGCATGTCGTGATCTTAATGACCGGGCGTTCAAATCTACGCCGCCAACAGCTTCTCCTCGTTCTGATTATGCGTCAGCTCTGTGACATGTATCGCGTGCGCAAGTGGTACCAATTATTCACATCGCTTGAAGCATCTCTACAATGTGATTAGTTCAGCAGTGCCTCCGTCTGCGGAAAGCTTACCTTTGGATCGATACTTGAAGATGAAAGTGAGGGGCATCACAGTAGAATCGGGTTCGAAACTTGCACCTATAGCGTCCATGTCGGCCACTTCGTCTGCGTATCTGAGAAAGCATGATTGGCAATATGACGTTGAATATGAAAGAGCCACTCACTGGACACGATGTCCGCCTGCTTTCTTCGTGCGTTCATTCACCGCCTTCGCCTCTCTTACAGCTCCATGCTCGTATGATATAGCCCCGGTATTCTTTCCCTTCTGAATGACTAACTTGATCTCCCCAAGAGCATTTACGGTGGTGTTATCTTCGAGTACGAAAGGGTTCTCTTCGTCTACAGGCCACATTAGCGACATAGAAAGAATGGAGACAACATGCGCACCTGTTAACACAATAGGTTGGAAATAGAACCTTGCAACTGTTGCACTTGTAGTACGCTTGCCATTCACAAATGTCGTTTGTGACGGGTTATGTCTCATAAGAAGTTTACCGTCCGCGAATTCGCCGTCCACATATACAAAAGCGCCAGAGGTAAACGGTCTACCGAAGTTCCGCCAGTGTACAACGAAATGCTTGCGGAAAATAAGTACATGCGTCTGGAATCAATATTCATAACAAAACGTACCTTGTCCACTTCCGATGACACCCAACAAGTCCAAGTGTTGGTATCTGGGTCGTATTCAGGAGCGTACTCGGGGAGTCGATCGTGGTCTACCGTAATCCAAGCTTCAAATAGTTGAACTCTCGTCGACTTCACCACGGGCATTTGATCAAGGTCATCCAATAGATAAAAGGGCGAGCCGCTCTATTTGTACAAATGCAAGTGGGATATTGGAAGGCGAAGTGTGGTACAGTGCATAGCAACATTGAGGGCGCGGCCGCGTCGCGTGCTTGTGTTCTCCCTGTGTTCGCCGTCTGCTCTGTCAAGCTTCCACATGATGTATCGTACCGTCTGAAGGGGTTTGTGTCATTACCTCTTAAGACCGCGTCGTCAACTGCACCGTCATTCTCGCTGATTGATCCTTACCTGTCTCTCTGCTCTTTTGTAATGTCCGCCTCGACGCGTCTTTCGATCGCCTGGCCACCAGACTTCCCACCAGAAGAGAAGACAGACACGCTGGTGCTGTCCTTTCCATCAAAGCATTTCATCGATCTCCGTTTCATGAAGGATGAGACCACTCCTTCTCTAGATTGGGGTTTTGCAGGGATAATGGAGACAGAGGACCACTGGAGTGCGTCTCCCTAAGCTTGAACGTCGTACCTTAGCCAACCACCTTCAAGCTACCTTCATTCACTTGCTTGACTCTGGTAATCCACATGACCCTCAGTCAATACACGATTCTGGAGAATTTGAGCTCTTGTCGAACGGTGACGAGCGCGAAACCGGCAGCATGGTCAACCCTACCGTCGGAAGGGTCATGCTTTACGAGGAGATTTGGCGGAAGCTGCCACAGTCCACACAGCGGGGCGCTGTATGTCTGGTGTCTGCAACAGACGAACCCGTTAAAGCATATATTGGGAGAGTTGGGAAATGGTTCCAAGGCATTTGCTTGTGTGATGGGCGAATATCTGCTGTGAGGCGGGTCCTTGACGAGGGGATTTGGAAAGAAGTGTACCGTGTTGGCGACGAGACGGTTTCCCTTCCAACCTTGGACACATCGCATCAAACTAGCTGGCAGGCAGGGCAACTCGTAGAATGTGGAGGAAGGCACTGGACTGTGCTCGATGTAGAACAGTAGTACATATCGAATTCAATTTCTTTCAGTCGCTTACATTCGAGTTAACGCATTCATCTATGTGAATCTCTTACAGCCTCAGAAGAAAGCCTTCATAAACGAGCCGAAGAGCCCTTGAATCTCGCCGGGTTGGAATTGTCCGCCGGTACCCGAACCGCCGGACTGGTACCGGGTCATGAGTTTCATGACGGTCGAGGCGGCAGCTTGGATAGCTAAACGTGTGGTCAGCAATTGTGCATTGTTCCAACCAAACCAGACGCTCGCCTTGCTGCTTGGCAGCGGGATCACCGCTTCCGTGTTTATCAAACAGCTCGCTCGCCTTCATCATCGCGACAGCAATCAGCTTCTCGTAAGGGCTTGCGGGCGCGGCAGGACTTCCGGCAGGAGGCGCTCCGCCTTGGGCAGGACCAGTCGACGCTCCTTGAGGATGAGGAGCACCAGCCTGCGGCGCGGAAGGCGCCCCACCACCACTTGCACCTAGTAGGCTGCTAATAGCAGCCCCCACTCCTCCTCCGCCCGTAAGGCCACCCAGCAGGGACGTGAGCGACCCACCGGCGCCACCTCCTGCACCTGACATGACGTGCTGGAGAGCACCCATTGCAGCGGCTTGGCCCATCTGTGTTGGGGTCGAAGATGAGTTGCTGACATCGATATGAGATGCATGTCATAGGTGATGTAGGTAAGTACACGTACACGGCGTGAGGATGGATCGTCGGTGTTGGGGGATCATCGTCGCTCGGCTGCGAATGACCCTGCTGGGCAGCCACTTGAGCGGCAGCGGCGTTGAACAACTCTTGATCCTGGACACCATCCTGCCAGTGCTGGGACGCAAAGTTCGCCGCGTTCTGAAGGTTCGGTGGCGAAGGACCTGGAAAGAATATAAGGAAACTGAAGAAATGGAACGCAAGCGAGGCTCACCATCATGTGGCTTTGGCGGATGGACGGAGGCGACGTCAGCAGAAAATTGACCGTCTTGCGCGTCGTGGTATGTTTCCTGTTGAGGGCGCGGCTGAGGTGGTTCGTTGTTGTAATATTCCGCAGCAGTTCCATGATGCTGAGAGATCGGACCCGTCGGCGCATGTTGCACATTGTGCGGCCGCTCGGGCCCGTTGCCATACCCTTCACCCGCCGGAGGTCGAGGTCGCTCGTATTCCTCCACATGAGGCGCATTTACCGGAGGACGGTATTCCCCGCCGCCATACGATTCTCCGTCACCGGCGTATTCACCCATCTGCTGCTGCTGCTGGTGATGATGACGGTGATGGTGTTCTTGCTCTTGCTGTTGAGGCATTTGCGAGCGTCCGTACTCGTCGTCAGGTCTGGGAGGCGCGGAATAGCGGGCATTGTCAAACTGTGTCTCCTGGGGAGGTCGACCAGGCGGGGCATGGTAATGCATCTGGTTATCCGATTGAGGAGGGCGTCGGCCGTATTCACGTCTGCGAGCTGATCAATGAAGTACAGTAGCGATCAGAAGGCGATGCTCACTCCTCGCTGGGTCTCCCGTATCCTTCCCCCCGCCCGTACCCTTGGGGGGGCCCTTGGTACTCATCGCGTCCATAACCGGCATATTCCTCAGGAGGCCGTTGATATCCCTCCCTCCCAACCGAAACAAACTCTTGAGGACGGCTGTATCCAGTCGTGTACGCATCCTGGAGGCTTTCCTGCTCGGCCCGGCGAATCTGAGCTTGCTCATCGTAGGACGACACGTTCAACGGTGGTGCATACGCATCCTGCACGGATTCGCGAGACGCTTGCTCCAACTGCTCCTCGTCGAAGCCACTCTCTTGGCGGTGTGGATTGTGATGGGGCATCGTATAAAGAAGGATCAAGGAGGAAAGAAGAACTCTCAATGCAACCAACGCTCAAGACGTCGAGGGGTTGAGGACCGCAATGTGAAACGATACAATCACGTGATGAGAACAGAAATAGAAACCTTAGTCACGGAATGAAGTATTACTGTACTAATGACAGACACACCATTCTCCTCTACGATATCTCGTAGTTGCGGATCTTTACACGGCGGTGGCCGCAGGATTCCGCCGATAGACAACCATATCCCTGCCCATCCCATAAGAAAAATCTCATATATGGAAGGTGTGTGAGGGTCCCTCCCACCATTCCCCCTCGTCTGGGAACGGCGCAAACGGATTCTCGTTCCAAGTTGTATATACCTCACCAAGCGCAAGTAGGCTCCGCCACGCTTTGAGTTCTTGCGAGGCGTATCGTCGACGTTCGTTATGCGGTTCTCTCACTCGGGAGCGAAAGTAGAGCCTCTTGAGATTGGGGGCAGATGACTTCAGCGTTCGAAATATGTGCGGGACGGCACAGAGCGAGGCAGGGCGTTGCATGGCTTCGTCCATCACTACCAGTCCTTCCAGGGATGGGAATACAGGAAGCTCTCCACGGAGGGCTGAAATGAGCCGCTCTAACGAGCCAAGGCTGAGTACTAGTATCCTGAGCCCTGGAGTAAATGCTCGAAGAACCCCGACCTGCGCTGCCAACTCCTCTGCGTCGCCTCCCATTCCTAAGCGCAGGGTGTGTAGATTCCAGGATTTGAGAGAAAGAGCATTCCAAGCAGAGAGGGGACGGTTCCATGGGAGGCGAGGAGGTATGTTAGCTCCGAAGTAAAGATTGCGCAGTTGAGGGCAGACGAGAGCGTCGAACAGCGCTTGGAGCGAGTCGGTTTCGGTAGGGAGGATGAGAGTAAGGGTATGCAACAAAGGAAGGTGTGTGGGCGCTGTCAACAATGCAAGGCCTTCGGCCCTGATGGACAGACGGCGCAAGCTAGATAGCGAAGAAATGTAGGACAGGTCGGTCAGACTGATACGAGCGTCTGAACTCGTGCGCGAGATAGTAAGGGTACGTAAGAGGGGCGGCGGGCGGGAGGGAAGGCAGAACAAATCGTTGATGTTCAGTTCCGTAACCAATGGGAGGGAGTCGCACACTTTGTCTATCCATGAAACGCGTTGTCTGGCCCCGAAGTATTCCAGAGTCAGAAAGCGGACCCTCGGTAGGCCGGCGCCGAGTAGGGTTTTGAGCGACTCCGGCATGTGGTATGAGCGTTCGATGTCTCGTACGATGAGGCTCGAACACGTTGCGTTGTGGTCGACCTTCGAGCGTATCATAGTAGACGAGCCATTTCCACCAGGGCCATTGGTCGGATGTGAGTGTCCTTCGGTTGCAGAAACATTGTCACCCATGGACGGGAATTCAGTGTGATTACGGTGTATGCTTCCATGCTTGCGAGGTGTGCAGTACACTTGAATTCTAGACCAGAGTGCTGGAGTTGCAATAACGGCCTGATGCCAACGTTTGGATACTTGCATTAGAACTCCGCGTGTTCCTGGAACCGCCGACCAGGGCCCCTCCGTCGCATACTCGAAGACGAGCTGAAGGAGTTCGATCGGCAGGTCGTCAATTGGCACCAAAGATGCTGCAAGGAGTTCCAAGCGGTGCAAGTGTCTGGTCCTTCTTGACTTCTGATAAACGATATGCTGCTGTGCTTCGTTCGTTGTCCAACCCAAACTTTGCAAGTTAGGGTCGCCAGTTCGTAGGCAGCGGCTGATGGATCGAAGAGCTACAGTACGGATGACACAGAGATGTTGAAGACGACGCTGTTCTTGCTTAAGTTGTGATAATCGACTTGCAGATATCATGACGCAGGTAAAAGGATACTGTGCATGAAGTGGTTGACTTGTAGATATGTACGGCCAGCAAATGCGATGACAAGGGCCGTTCGTGATAGGCGGTGTTGCAAAGCTCGAGCTCTCAGGTACAATCATTGATGGGCGAGGTAAACATTAGAACTGATACTGTTTTTGTCGCATCCGTTATATGATAAGCAATAATCGAGGCTGAGGCCAGCGCTTATTCCAAGAGGAATTCAACAGAAAAAGGTGCCGATCAGTCTACCGATCATACGTCACCGATCGGCAAAAGTGGGCGCTCGTGCGGGAGCAAATTATATTCACCTTTCTTGGACTTGTTACTTGACTTGGTTAGCTGCCTGTACACGCCTTCAAGACCTTTATTCATCATGGACTGGGATGAGAGAGAAGATGAAGACTACGACAACGTCGAAGAGCACGTCTATGGGCAGGAAACAGGGGAGGTAGAGGAAGAAGTGGATTACTAGTACGGATCATCAACCACCTTGGTCTACCCCGCTCACGCCTCTCTAGTGCGCTCTTGAACGTGGAGAAAACCGCAAGTACGAGGGAGATACATCAGTCATATCGACATTTAGCATGTGCGTTACAGTAATCCATAGAAGTAGCTTGGATATTTATCCGTACATAGCTCTGCTGCATCCCGACAAACACCCCCCTAAACACCGGGAGATGGCTGAGAAGAGATTTCAAGATCTTACGACGGCATATACAGGCATGTGGATTGATAAACGAATACTCCCGTTATGCTTACATGCACAACAGTGTTGACTGACGAGAACAAACGTCATGTGTACGATACGCTCGGTGTTCGGGGGCTCAAGTTCAACTGGGCTGTCACTCAACCACGCCGGCCAGCAGAGGAGGTGCGTGCAACGTCTCATGCATGCGTATTACGTTGATTTTACAACCAGCTGAGACAAGACTTCGAGCATTTCAATAATGGGATGAGGTGGCAGCAGGCACAAGCTTCGATCACCAATCTTGTGCGCACGCTGTTTTGTCCTAGAGATGTCATCTGAGGCACATCTACCCAGGTCGCACTGGATGCCAGAGGAATATTCCAGCAGTACGTTGTGGTATCTGCGTTCCCCGCGGTGCACGAATCAGAAGATGCAGACCATGGTGAAGACGAACATGAAGAGGCGGTCGAACCAGAGGAAACTCCGGAGGACAGCGCACCGGAGGAAACGCCAAAGAGCGATGAAGAAGTAAAGCCTGCAAAGATCAAACTGGACGTTACAGAGAAGCCCAAAGAGACTAAGGAGCAGGAGATAGAGCTCGAAGTGATTGAACCACCTCTTCTCTCTCTCTCAAGGCTCCAGCTCTCCCATTCGACTACAGTATAGATTCCCTTCAACGCCGCTGTCCAAGTGACTTACTCCTCCTGTTGACAGTTTCCACTCGCCAAAAGACTCAGTATACGACTGCTTGCTACTGCTGGTACTCGGGATGATCGGGGAACCGCGAATTTCATGGGCACGGCAAAGTACCAGTTCCCAAACGGTCTCACAGCAGAGGCCAGTTCCTGTCTGATTCTTTGAATATGTGTTTCTGACCTTCATCCAGGTGGGGTCGAACTTAATACGAAATCGTGTGCCGTTCGCCCATGCCGCCTTTGAACTGCCCTATCTGAAACAAACAAGGATGACAGTTCGCGCGACATGTCCTACGTTGCTTTTTCCGCCGCCAATCAGTCTGTCCTTCTCTCGAAGACTAAGCAGTCGTTGGGAAAGTTCACTCGCTCTCTCAACTGGCACGTGGGTTCTTCCCTTCTGGCCGCCCGACCAAACAAAGTATGCTCTGGACCTCGACGAGAGCAAAGAAAATGTACGAATCGTGAATATGGAGGACGATCCAGAGTTAGAGCCGGGTTGGAAGCGTATGCTCCTCTCCCGCGCGGCATCTCTCGCCCTCAAGTTCGGGGTCAAGCAAAGACCTCGAACATTATCTCTCACATTTACCAAGATAAACAAGGAGACGGGCTCCGTTGATCAGGCGAGCACCTTGTATGCTGTGCTCCTTGAGGAATCCAATCCCCATCTGCAAGCATCCTGGGGTGGAACAATCCCTGCCCGACGACTCATTTACACCGGACTCGCGAAGCTGCTCCCGGGCGAGACCGAGGCGAAAGTGTCAGACGAGTCCAAGCATGCGAACACATTAGCACCGAATAAGATTGCGTGGAATTTTATGGTCGACCTCGGATTACTGACCGGCATTATGACCGTTACCACTGTCAGTGGTCAAACCGGCCCTGCGAGTTGGGGGGTCAGCGTCGACCTTGGAGAATCAGGCGTCTGGCTCCGGATCAAGTTCGTATCTAAAACACTACTCTTCACTGCTTACTCTGATATGTCATCCTTTATTTAGGGTTGGCGTACGTGGCCAGAAAATCACCGTCCCCATCTGGCTTATCGACGAACCAGACCTACTCTTTGGGCTTTCCACTGTGGGCGTTGTCGCGACGACGGTCCTGAGCTGTTTCACCGCCAGTGAACTCTGGCATCTGCTCGATAAGCGTCGGTAAGCTTCGGTTCTGATGTTTATTTGCGTTTTCTAGTTTGCTGTATTGTTCTGGAGCTGGTGATCATCGCTAGGCTTTCGGCCGGGACGCACATCCTTATCGTCTGTGATCGCCAAAGGATACTATAGCTGCTTCATCTCGGCGGACCAAGCCGGCGCTACTCCACTTGGGTACCCAACTTTCCCTTCGGGGTCAACTCGTCAACAGTGTTCTCGGGACATGCCACTCGCATGCCACCAGTTCCCATCGGATTGTCAAGGGATTAAGGCAGCCATCGCTGTCGAAGCGTCTAGAGGGAATTGCGTTGCTCTGTTAACTTCACAATCTTCCAATCTACCTACATCGTCGCTTGGTGGAGCTTGCCGAAGAATCGGCCCGTCCTCTGCTGGACTGGTCTTCTGAGCCAGTATCTCCCTCGTGGCGCAAACCATTGTACTTTTGGAGTTGCTTTCTCACACCTAGCCTTGTCTCTATCACGCCTCGGCATGCCGCGGTCAGGTACACTCCAGTCGCTTAGATGGAAGCAGAGTTGGCGACACTTCCCCAATCGGCCTAATCTCCTTCCGAACCTTTTTCGCGCTGAGACATTCGTCGCCTTTTCAATTCTTTGTCCGCCTGTTCATCATGCTCACACCCTTCCAGACGTTTGAAAGCACTTCGGGAAGCCCGTGCCGGCCAACTTGCGAAGAAAAGGCAAGAAGCGGAAGGGGTGCATCAAATGCTGAAAGAATTGGTGGAGCGCTCTCTGGCATCAAAACAAACAACGGATGGTGAATATCGAGCTAGTTCACAATTATGCTGGTGGCTAATCAGCATCATCTAGGATTGGCGGTGCTTGCGGCGTCTTATGGCCCAGCAGGAGCTTTTGACCCGGCCACAGAATCTGCCGTGCCTTCTCCTATCGACGTAACTCTCCCGATACAAGCACTCATGAGTGAAGGGCACCTGCACATTGCTGGCGGGAGATCAAAGGTAAGAGTTGCGCATTGTAAATTGTGGTCTATTCAAAAAAAAATCCGGTTGGCTCCGTTAGTCGGGCCTTCTAGGGTTTTATGATGCTTTCCCAGATTTAAAGAAAGCTCTTCGGATAACATATCAATATGAAGGTAAAAAACATGAGGTTACCGTTGGTGATCTTGAAGAAGTTTCAGCTCCGTCAGAAGGCAAGCGCGTTTCGCTTGCAGTCTGTGACGTGTGCTTACGCTCACCTGAATAGCACATCTCATACCAGAGTAGCGGTTGTCTTTCTTGCCTCTTTGTCCACAATCATACCCAGAGAAGAACTCGGTGTAACAGTGTTTGAATTTCACCGCTCATCAACAACTTTGACGACAGAATAATGTAATCCAAGGAATATATAAATCAGCATTGTTGCATTACCCAGCCCTGGATATTCCCGGAAAATGCAGGTTCTATGCCTCCGTGAGACGGCAAATCGTGATGAATGACACGCCTCGTGCAGGTTTTAAAACCAGGACAGAGTACACCCAGACCCTTCGTACAGTCCGCACTCAATCCCCATACAGGAATATATTAGTCAAACCTTTTGATTCAGACCGGGTATCTGCTGTGATCAAGCTGGATCCCGTGAATATGCGGCAACGAAGTGGCTATGGGTGCTGTGCCAAGAAGAGACCTTATCTTTACGATCCACCAGATTCGCCGTCTTTTCTATCTGATTTAAATGGTGTATTCCTATTGGAACGGCATGCTTTGACAACATGTTGTTTGTCATTGAGATGCGGATCCGATTCGGCCGATATGTAAACAGACCAAGTCTGCGGGTCGTATCCAAAACTCTGTTTTCCATCAGCAATCCTGAGCGGAAGCATACAAACTCAGAGATTTGAGGAACGTGGTACATGGTTATTGGATAGCGCGAATGTAAGGACACGGCTGCCGCTTCATGCCGAGGGTTAGTCCTGCGGAGTCAAAGAATGAGGAATCCTCACATTCCACCCTTGCTGGGTGATCTAACGCAGAGATGGCGAATCGCAAGTATCGATTAGGGCTTTTTGCGATAATACAGTACACTGGGTGTTCTGCCTCGAGGCCGTGCGTCGGCGCTTGCCAAGTTGGTTGCAAGAATGCTTCGGAGTTTCGGGTGACCTCCTTTCCGCTCCCCACCTCTCCCTTGCAATGGGTCGTTGTGTGGGTATCTGAATGCGTGACCGCTTCGTCTCCCCGGACACTTCGAATAGCAGGACCGCCAGCTCAGGCGGAGTGCAAACAGTTCAGACCCCGCTTCGGACCTTGTGGAATTAAGTATGTCCCAAGAAGTTCTGCGGGACCGCGAACTGCGCGGATATCATTAGAAGCGGGGACATTAGAGAAAAGGGGAATGGCAAACGTGGGAAGAAGGGTGAACAATCAGCGCGGTGTTCGTGTTAGTTGCCCCTTGCTGATTCTCGTGGTTCTGCATAATCTGTCTCTATGCCCATCTCGTCTTCCGACGGCGCAACCCGTATCAACTATCCAGGCGGTCCATCACGCTGTCTTCCTCCAGGCAATTCCTCTCACGAGTTCACCCGGTATTTCGACGACGGCATTTACCGAATCTGCCGAGGTCCTGCGTCGAGCGCATGAAAGCTATGTCCCGGACCTTGTGAATGTACAAAGGGATCTGTTGGCTGCAAATAGTCCATTCAGTTAACTTGTATGCGTGCCTGGTTGATACCGACGTCCACTGATTGGCAGAGACTGTATCACGTCGAATCCGTGATCCCCATATAATCCTCGATCACAGCCCTGTTACTTTCTCCAGCTGCTGGGCTCAAGGAGACTGCTGCCCTTCCCAGTGCAGCATGCTTCTCGCGGTCGTCGTCTGGCACAGCCGTTCAACTGACTGCCAGACAGGATATGCTGTAAGCTTGCGGCTGTGTACAAGTCTGTGGAGCAAACATTCGATCTTGAGTGATCCCTGGTATTATACACTCTCCTGATGCGCCCCGATCTCCACGATCAAGCCCATCTGCTCCGTAAACAGGGTATATCAGGCAACAACTTTCACCTGTGCAACGATGATGGCTACCATAAAAGTAAACAGGTCTTGATAAGATTATGCGCCATCTTTCCTTCGGAATACCAGAACCAGCATCGATAGACCAAGGCAACATTGATATGCACAGGGTTTGTCGTGCAATATGCAGATATTCTCGTTGATGCTCATGTCTGTCTCGCCCACAAGGCAACATGGCCGGTCTTCTGGCTTCCGGCCTTCTGCATTCGATCGCTTACCGGGGTGTACCCCACTTCTTCAAATATAGATAGCAATTTTCCTATCTCAGCGTGATACCCGTAAAACCGGGGAATGCCAGGCCGCTGGATGCGCGCACTCGGCCGCGTGTGAATGGTCGAACTCTAGGAAATACTAGGTAGGACAGCATAAACGCGGGGTGGCATGACTACTTGCTTCCGAACAAACGGGTCTTCTTTTCCGACATTCCACTGGGACAGTTGGATTTCCTTATACATACATCAGAGACAATCTCCTCGGTGCCACGCTCGACTTCCGATCTCAACGCGAATTCCTGTGCCCGGAAGCTACCATTGAGAGTAGACAAGCTCGTGTGAAGGTCGCCGCGTAAACCCACAGCTGTTGAGGTGCAAGTCTAACGGAGCATGCCGAAGGCGAGGCCTTGAATAACCCAGACGCCACAGACGTCCTCCACAAGACGATGTAGAGCGTGTGTACCGCAGCATGGCCATATCTCTCTGTGGAATAGGGAGCGTGGAGAAGGGGCGCCACCAAGAAACGTACATGTTGCGCTGACCATGCGATCCGGCTGAGATCGGGAGAGAGCAGGCAAGCCAATAGGCGGCTGAGCTGTTTCGGCGGCAGGTATCACAGTCTGAAGTCTCCAGAGCAGAGTTACAGGCGCCCCTATACCGCACGCCACATGGCGCAGGGGTCCGAGACCAAAACAGGTCCATTGTCTCTGGCATGTTGTTTTTCGTCATCGTTGTCAAGTGGCGTTCTACATAACAGCGCACAAGAATATGAACTCGATTGGCGCACCCAAAGAAGATCCCCAAGAGCTTCCTCCTCAGGGCTCGGCCCGATGTCGACGTTCTGGGCCGCCTGCAAGCGAGGGGTCGCCTTTGTCCGAACAGACTACAGATAAGGTTGGTGGTTACTGTCCAGAGGTCAATTGCGGAAACATAATGCGGGGGAAAGCTTGTTTCGTTCGTCAGATGGAAACGAAAGAATCCTACGTCATCAGATAATGGATATCGGAAGACCGGAAGATGTACCGGTGAGGCGGTGAGTGCCGGTGCTTTGAACCTTGTGTCACGGAGCGCTCCAGATCGTCCAGTCTATATCGCATTACGAACGGAAGAGAGGTCGTTGTCACCGTGGGCGGTCAGGGGTAGGTGGTCAAAGCCAAAGAGCATCCGCGCAGAAACATCCCGGATCCTTTTTTTTTCGCTCTGTACCTCTTGGGGTCCTACCCTGGGATTTACATTGCAGGCTCTTTGCCGTGTGTCTGGCCTCTGCTTACGTGCACAATGGTACGATAGACTCTCTTGGGTCCTGGGAACGGCAATAATCTGTAACTGACGACCGTTCGGATGGTCATCGCCCAGTGTATGATTACGCACGACTCGCGAGGCTAATCAGCAAGCACCGTGTGCAAGAAGCTGCACTACTCCATCAGCCCCCCTTCATTCCATGATCTTATGACATACAACACATGCCTTCGATGAGGATTACGATGGATGGCCTCTCCTCGCCAACCGGCAAGAACCGCACGGAGGCTCTTCCCATGGCCGCTCGCGCGTTCCTGTGGACACGCGAGGCCTCCTTCCCCCCTCAGGGCAAAGCATGCCCACCCCCCGAAGTGCGTTTCCGGTTCGGCAGGTCCCTAAATGGTCCGTTTCTGGCTTTGATGCTTGTAAGGCGTCCATCACACAGCTCTTGACGTCCATTTGCCCTTTTTTGTACTCCACCCGACAGGCTACTTATACTTCCCATTCTCCTTCCCCACACGATGCTTGCTGCCCCCGCACAGCTCCCCCCTTTCCTTCCCACTCCGGAACCCTTCTGTTGACCGGTCCCCTTGTCTCCCTATTGTTTCCTGGGTCTGAAATAAAGCTAAACCCCATGCACTCGGCAACCGTCACCCCCTGTTCTTTGCGCCGCCCCCGCCGGGATAGAACGAAGGTATCTCGTCAGAGGCCAACACTAACAGGAGTGCACATCTCCAGCACATATGATGCACTGTCTGTTCTGAATGGCGTTCGGCTCGGTCTGTTGCAGGTGCGCCCTCCTGCTTCCCACACTTGCCCGAACATAAAGCTAACAGGAGGATTTTTTGTTTGTATCATGCACCTGACTAGCCTGTGGAGCGCCGCTTAGATCCAGAAGAACGTGAAGAGATTCAATCTGGTTGTGTTTATGTCTATGAAGAGAGCCATGGCTCTAAGTCCCGGCAGGGTATCGAGCGATGGACAGACGGGAAGCGATGGGTAGGTCCCTATTCGGTCCCTTGTTTCATTATCACCGCTTGACAACAATAACCCCTCTAGTCCGCAAGTCGGTCAAAGGAAGTACGTCACCATTTGGGGTCAGCTTCAATGCTCCCCCTTCTGATCTGTTTGTCCAAATAGAACTTCTTGTTTTATGAAGAGAACAGCACGGGGAGCGAGGATCCCGATGGGCCTGAGCCCACGGCTTCACCTGGTTCCGATGATCCGAAGTACGTCCTCCTTATCTCAATGAGCAAATACTTAATATTGTGTGGCTGCCATCCTCGCCTTTTAGTGTCGCCTTGATCGATTACATGACATCGTCCGATGCCCCTGGCCGTCTTACCAAGATGACTTTCTCCTCGTGGGTGAAGCTTCCGAACGATCAGGCGGACCAAAAGCGCAAGTGGTTACTCGTCTGCTATTGGCAGAAGCCGCACGTCAAGACTCTGCCGAAAGCGTATGAATTGGAGATTCTCCTCGACCAGGACATCCCCAGGGGCATGTTCTTTTCGTCCCGGGCGGGGAAGAACAAGCAGCAAGGGCTCCCTGCAGCGGGTACAGCATACGATGCTGTCCTGCGCCGGCCGGCGGACCTCGACGCCTTGCGCTGGCGCAAGGTACAGTACTACGCCTCCGGAAACCGCTCACCTCTGCCTGTGGGACCTGGTACACGGCCAGAAGATGTTCCGGAACAGTACGCGGGGCGCGGAGCATGGGCACCCCTGGACCACGTTCCACAGGGGCCTAGTGTAACCGACGCGCGGTTCCGATATCATGATCAGCACCAACGGACGTTCCCCCACCACCGCACGAGGCGAGATGAACTCGAAGACATCCCGATTACGGAGCGACCGCCACATTGGCGCCCGAATGCCACGGGAGGGACAGCCCCCGCAACAAGCGAATCCTCGACCAGCTCGAGCTCCACAGCAAGCCCGCCTAGCCCGGGCAGCGCTGTATATCAAAGCAAGGGCTGGGAGGGAGATACCAGTCCACATGTGGAGGAAACGAATTCGCGCTACCCCCTTGGCCCGTCCTGCACCCCTGCATCATCGATGATCACGTCCTGGCCGCCCGTGGGTGCAGCTCGGCCCATGCATGCCATCTCGTCGGTACGGGAACAGCCCCCTGTTCCACGGGGGGGTCCATCCCCACCGGTGACTTTGCCCCCAATGGTGCCTCCGATGCCAGGAACGGACGGCCCTCCGGGACCGTTCTCGTGTCACACCGTCTCGACTGCTACTCGGCGGCTCCATGTGCCGTGTCATGCGTTGCCACGCGTCAGTCCAGACTACTACTATTGTTGCTCTCGCGGTTCCGCACCTCCCACACCCCCATATGGATCACGTACCAAGCAGACACCAGGGCGGAGCATCCTGGAACTAGCTTTGGCGCCCAGCCCCTGCCCGGCAGAGCGTATATTACCTCCCGTCTCTCTGTCGCTGGATGGTTGGCGGGGTGACTATGATGGGAGTCTCATTTCGCGCTGGGACCGGACGATTGGGGCGCCTGAATGGGGCCCAGGAGCGCCACGGTATGCTGGAAGACTCAAACTTTGATTTCGCAACCATGCACTGCAGAACCCTGTCGGGAATTGGCGGATGGCAGAAACGGAAAACCACAACTGAATACGTCTCGGGATCTACCGTTGCTTTGTCGGACTGTTGTACGATACATGAGCCATATGGAGGGAAGGCGGAAGGGCTGAGAATTCCCGGAATGCGCGACCAGCACGAAGCTCGGGGAAACCTCAAACACGAAGGGCATTCGAGTGCAGATGGGAAGATTTGGGGACAAGGGGTGATTTCCTGTGTAATCAAACGGCTAGTGTGTAATTTCTCAAGGGAACAGAATAAGGCCAGTGAAGCATGCAGAATTTGCTAGCTGCATGCTGCCCACCTTCCTTGTGCGGCAAGAACATGTGATTTCCGGAGCATAAAGATAAAGACTAGGAAGGTTGGCAAGGGTTTGGCTCGGCAGGTGGCACCGTGCTTCTGAACTTCTCAATGGTCATCAAAAGGGTTTGATCATCAAATTGCCAGTGATGGTCTAAGAATTGTTGAATGATTATCATCAAGGTTGCCCACCAAGCTGTTGAGGAGTGCCTCAATGGGGAATGTGGGCAGAGGCTGATTGCAGTTCTGACCAACAGAATCTCCTGGAATGGAGGCAAGGAGAAAGGTTCCAAAGATTGAGCGACTGGGCAGTGCATCAGCACTGCCCAATCATTCCATTTCTGCAGGCCACCCCTTCTAATATGAGGAGGGGGGTGAGAAATGCAGTCCCCTTTGAAGGGGCTAGCTTCAACAAGGAGGACAATCCCTTTCGGGACAAAGTCCCGGGAGGGGGAAGATGGTAGAACGGCGATTGCTGATGGATAGGGAAAGACCAGAAAAAGGGACTCTTATAGTGCCCGAGACGCTAGATGGGCGCGGGTTTGCACCCTGTTCGGCGCAATGCCAAGACGGAGTGAAGAGCAGCGAACCCCATAAAGTCGGCTTGGTAAGAGAGATGGACGGAGATTCGTGGTGATTGGTATGCAATTGCCGAATGCCGTTGTATGAAGTGCGGGCCGGTGTGGACCGGGAACAACAACGCACGCGAGATTTTATCAGGAAGAATTCAGTTCATTGTCAATAGTCGGACGATACATCTCGGCTGGTCGCCAGAGATGGTTCGTGTTGGACGGGCGGCAGGGGACGAAGTCTCGAACATGACCCCAGCGGTAGCCAGTCCTGGATTTGTCACATAACAACGAGGAGATAGAGACGGGCCGATTGGACAGAAACACCAGGTGATTGTCGAACATCCGCCTGGCTGGCACGGCAGGGATGACGTGCAGAGGAACACGGGGGAAGCAGAAGCCGTTGCAGCGAGCAAGAGCAAGATCCATGGACTTTGCATCAGCATCTTCCATCGCGAATATCAGGAACCGAGTCCGTTTCAGCAGGTGTTCAGTTACACTAGAAGGGGATAACATTGAATCTTGCAACTGTCGCTGGTTACTGATCGATCATCCAGGGAATGACATCCCGCCAGATTGTGGGAAGATTCTCATCAAGGGCCAGCTGTCGACCGAGAAAAACGGGGAGATAAAGCAGGTTACATTCCCGGCTTCCATTGAGAACCTTGATTTGCTTTTCGTTTTGTGGATGGGGATGCGGCATGTACAACGCGTGGGTTTGGGCGGGACGGAATCAGCCGGAGAAAAAGGCCGCGCTGAGCGAGGGAAGCACAAAAGAGCCGTGGGGCGCTCGATCAGGTAAGGCATCCATCTCATCTTTGGATCCTTGTGCAAAACGCAGTCGTCGCGCAGTTTGGTTGAGCAACCCTCCTTACCTCTTCCTCTTCCTTCTCTGCCCTGCCCTCTTCGACCACTCTTTTCAGCAAAGTACAACAAGACCTGAAGAGGAAAGGACGCGATGGCAAACTCACTCAAATCCCGCTCTCGGGCGCGCATCTACACCGCCCACGACGTCTCCCTACACACGTCTCCTGTCAACTGTTGGGTCTCTCGCAAAGGGAGGGTATACGACGTGACTTCATTCGTTCCCGACCATCCTGGAGGAGAGGACTTTATCCTGCGTTATGCGGGGAAGGACTTGGGGGATGCGATGGATGATGCGGAGGAGCACGTCCACTCGGATTCGGCCTTTACAATGTTGGACGAATTCTGCATCGGCAAACTTGGGACGGACGAGCTCATCGTGAGCGAAGATTGGGAGCCTGAGGAGGACTTCCATCCGGAGGATACAGATACGATGGACGATTACGAGAAGACGCAGTTCTTGGACCTGAACAAGCCCCTCTTGGCACAGGTGTGGTTCAGCAACTTTAGGTGCGTTTCAAGTAATACCCTCAAGTAAATGCGTATGCTGACCTACGATCTAGCAAATCCTTCTATCTTCAACAAGTCCATCAACCGAGGCACCTTCCCTACTCGGCACGCATGTTCAAATGGGATATCCTCGAAATGTTTACCCTTACACCGTGGTATGTCGTTCCTATGGTCTGGCTCCCCATTGCCGCGTACCTGCTACGCCTATCGATCATGCAATTCACCGACCCGACAGCGTACAACTGGCCGTCACAAGCTGTGCTAGCGGCGAGCGAACCTAAGCTCACCTGGCTTCCCCCGCCGATCAAGGCTTTGCTGTGCTTTTTCGGGGGCAACTTTGTGTGGACGCTGCTTGAATACTTCTTCCATCGTTTCATCTTCCACCTCGACAGCTTTCTGCCCGATCACCCGATGGCGCTTACTGTCCACTTCACCATGCACGGGGTGCATCACTATTTGCCGATGGACCGGTATGTGCCTTCGTCATCCATCTCTGCTAAATATACTTAACTCATTCAGCTTGCGCCTCGTCATGCCACCAGCGCTGTTCACCGCCCTTTCCTTCCCCTTCACGCGCCTCGCCTACTTCTTATTCCCCTCCGCCGTCGCGAACGGTGTTATCGCAGGCGCGTTCACCTTTTACGTCCTGTACGACACGATGCACTATGCGCTGCACCACTCGCGCCTGCCTACATACGTGTTGGAGATGAAGAAATACCATCTGGCGCATCATTATAAGAACTTCGAGCTCGGATTTGGCGTCACCAGCAAGATATGGGACTACGTCTTCGGTACTGTGCTCAAGGTGTGAGCTATAAATACGCCACGCACACTGGTGGATCACAACGGCAAAAGAACAATTGGCTGGGCTGGTACAGCGCCCAGACACAGGGACTTCATAATATCGTATGTCTTGTCATCAGTAGATCGCGCTCGTTAAAATTCGTAGTATACCCCAACATGTTCCCTATAGTAATGACACCCCTCAGCGTCACCCATTCGGGTCGATATGCGTGCCCAGACAATCAAAATGAGATCAATCGCCTGTTTGATGTGTTCGATATTTGATATCATTGTGTTCCACGGTACAAACTACAAACGCGTCACGTCCAGCCCCACTCAGGAAGCACTGGTCCCAGTCTATCTACTAAATTACAGCTTGAGCTCCTTGAGCAGGGGAGTGATGCACTCGATAACGGCATCACCGACATCCTTGGTCTTGAACGACCCACCGAGATCAGCAGTGAATGCCTCCAGACCGCCGGCGGACTTGAGGTCGAGCGCCTTGCTAACGGCCTTCTCGATGACCACGGCGACTGGCTCGAGCGCGAGCGAGTAACGGAACATCATCGCGAGGGAGAGGATGGTGCCAATGGGGTTGGCAATGCCCTGGCCCATGATATCGGGAGCAGAGCCGTGGATGGGCTCGTAAAGACCGAAGGTCTCGCCCTTGGCATCGGGCAGGCCGGACAGGGCAGCGGAGGGAAGGACACCGATGGAGCCAGGGACGACGGCAAGCTCATCGGAGAGGATGTCACCGATCTGGTTGTCGCAGACAACGATACCGTTGAGCTTCTTCGGACGAGCGGCGAGGATCATCGCGGCGGCATCGACGTAGGTGTGGTCTAGAGGCACCTGCGGGTATTCCTTCGCGAACACATCGGTGACAACGGTGCGCCAGAGGCGGGAGGAGGCCAGCACGTTGGCCTTGTCAAGGGAGTGGACGGGGGTAGGGGGGTTGGTCTTGATGGCGAGCTCGCCGGCGAAGCGGGCAATACGCTCAACCTGGGACTTGGTGTACTTGTTCACGTCCCATGCGGCGGGGTCGGCATCGGACATGTTGGCCTCCACGTGGTCGCCGAAGTAGATACCGCCTACGAGCTCACGGAGCAGGATTATCTCGGTGCCTTCAGCAATCTCGGTCTTGAGGGGGGACTTGGCGATAAGGGAAGGGGAGGGGAAGAGGACGGGGCGGATGTTGGCGTACGCATCGACGGCCTTGCGGATCGCCAGCATGGCGACGTCGGGGCGGATGGCAGCGAGACCATACTTGGGGTGGCCGACGGCGCCCATCAGCACGCAGTGGGCCTGCTTGCAGGCTGCGACTGTGGAGTCAGGAAGGGGCTGGCCATTGAACTCGATCCCAGCGCCGCCCAGCGGGTGCTCGGAGACCTCAAACTTGTACTGAGGGAGGTACTGAATGATGACGTCGAGCACGCGCTTCGCCTCGGCGACGACCTCAATGCCGATACCGTCACCGGGGAGAAGTACGATCTTCTTGGTGCTGGCCATTGTTGTTTTTGGGAGTGAGAAAGAGGGTTTGGGGTGTGTGCTAGACTGAGAGAATGCTGCTGGGTGCCGCCTGGTCGATCGCTGAACTGGAGGTATTAATACCGGACATTGGTGGACCCTGATGTTGCCGTCGGTGCCTTGTGCTGACCCCGCGGTCCGATTGGGAACCAGCGCCGGTCCGCACGGAAGCAACCGACCTCATTCATTTGACCTGCGGTCGGACATGCGGCTCGGTACATTCGGGCGAGGTGTGATCGCAATATGATCGGTTATGATCGAATATGATCGAGTGAATGATCGACCGGATCCGTATCCCCCGTCGATCACCTCTTGAGGCCAACTCTCCCTTCAGCCAGTGGGTGGAGCGGGAAATTTTGAGGAAATCAGCTGGACAATGTCGGTCCGAAGTCAAGAAGCTGTCTGTACCAGTTGTACACGTTGGAGGCGACGTCGGCAGAGGTGTTGCACGTTGAAGGGGGACCGATGTCTCTCTCTCCAACGCTAGCGACCGCGCCGTCCGCCCCCTACTTGCCAGCAAGGCGGCTTCTGTCAGAAAATCTGGGGAATGAACCTCCATCTGGAACATATTTTGCCTTGAGGGTGAAGAGGCTTGGGCACCCATTATTATCGGGAAAGTATCTTGCCGGTGCGGTCATTCTCCCCAACAGCTTCTGGCGGACCGTGGGTGCCGTCTCGATGTCGAAGTCATGAGGACGTCGATGACCTCCGAGTATTCACGGGGTTCTCGGGAAAGATGAACAGGACTGGTCTGTCTTAGGTGCAGCAGGGGTGTTACAGACCCTTTGTCTCGTCTCCACTGCTAAGCTGGAGATGGTGATCGCCTACCTGCTCTCGTTTTTCAGCCCTTCATCGAATAAGCGCCCATCTTCGAGGGATCAAGGTCAGATTGCGGAGAGTGCGGCATTCGGGTTGACTCTTGCTACACGGGGCGAGTGAGCTGCCACTGATCACCGCCGAAGAAAGCAAGTACTGGAATGAATCCGGAAAAGCACCCGTAATGGGTGCACGAGGTCAACCAACCAGGAATCGCAAGACCACGATCAGACATGTCATTGTCTTCGTTTGCTGAAGCGACTCTTACGCGGAATTGAAATCGAGTGCGTTCTGCATACTAGTCGACAGTTGGTTGAGGTTACAAACATTGATAACAACCAATCGTGTTGCCCTACAGCGATCGGCAGGGAAAAGCAAGGATCTGTCTGGTGACGTCAAGTACAGTGTTCATGGTTGTGGAGGTGGGTCGGAGCAAGAAGGGGCCTTGGACATCCCAATAGTACAGAGACAGAGTATTTGCCACAGAATAGACGTAAAGGTAGCATCATCAATCCCCAGCCCAGGACATAAGCTCGAGCCGGAAAGAAAGCAAGCGCAGGATGATGATCGCCGCTCGTGCTTCCAAAGCCCAATAACCGACCGATACAGTTGATAGATTAAACCCGAATACGAGCTTTCAGATGTGAGCCAAGAAGCACGGCATTAATAACGGCCAAGGAAATGGCACCGCCATAAGTATACAAAAGTCAATAATTGCTCTTCACTGCCCTCGGAGGGGATCTGAATCGATGAAAAGGATTTGACACGCCGGAACGTTGGCCCTTCCACGTCGTGGGACAGCCACTACAGGCATTGCAAACGGAAAAGGCTCCGCCCCAAGCGGTGACGACCCAAACTTCAAACGAGTAACACACCTCAACGTCCTCGCCGTTTACCGTCCAAACGCCAACGCATACACCTTGACATCCATCGACGAGAGTGATCATATCAGTACGTGTTTCTTCACAGATGTAACGCACAGCATTGACGATGTATTCAAACGCATATAGCCTGTTCGTGTGCCGTTGAACAGCTCCGAGCATCTTTCGCGCGTACCACCCCCGAACATTCACTCTAACGTCCACGTAACTCTTCGACCATAGACCCGACTACCTCATTTGACTACTATTATTAGCCCGCCATGTCCACTCGCATCAACATCAACCGCCCTCCCCCTCCTCCCACGTACACACAGCCCTCTTACCAACCAACACCATACGCGTCATCCACCTCTCCTGCACCCCCAGTCTTCTCCATGCAGCAAATAACCGACACCCAGGCGTGGCAGACTGACCCCCTGGGTCAGATTAGAGGCATCTCCTCCAAGATTGAGGACTGGATCGAGATCGTCAGCCAACCCATTCGCCCTCACCTCCCCGCGTTGGGCAGATTCTTGATTGTCGTCACCTTCCTTGAGGACGCACTCAGGATAATGACCCAGTGGAACGATCAGATCTGGTTCCTTGGAAAGTGCGTACTTCAAAGATCTGAGTGATCTACATTTGGACTAACGATGATCCAGGCACCGTCATTTCCCCTGGGGCGTGTCCCACATATTCTTGGCCCTCAATGTCATCATCATGCTTGGTGGCTCTGGGCTCGTCGTCACAAAGCGTTATCCAGAGATCGCTGTTGGCTCACTTCTTGGTGTTGTGATTGCGCAAGGATTTGGCTACGGGCTGATTTTCGACCTCAACTTCTTCCTCCGCAACCTTTCTGTCATTGGTGGGCTGCTGATGGTTCTCAGCGACAGCTTGGGTACCAGGAAAAACCTCTTTGCAGGGTTGCCCAGCTTGTCCGAGACCGACAGGAGGAAATAGTAGGTTTCTCTGTCCTTATATGCATCTCATTATCTAATGTTCCGTGCAGTTTCCAACTCGCTGGCCGTGTTCTCCTAATTTTCCTCTTCATCGGTTTCATTCTCCAGGGTACCTGGTCCATCTCACGGGTGATCGTCTCGATCATTGGTCTGTGTGCATGCATCATGGTCGCGGTCGGCTTCAAAGCCAAGTGGTCCGCTTCCTTCCTTGTTCTCGTTCTTTCCATCTTCAATGTCTTCATCAACAACTGGTGGAGCGTTAACTCGCACCACCCGCAGCGCGATTTCCTGAAGTGAGTTTACCTTCCATTATTATAATCGACATCCATATTGACGTGATTTCAGGTATGATTTCTTCCAAACCCTTTCCATCGTCGGCGGACTCCTGCTACTCGTCAACATGGGTCCCGGTGGCATCTCCGTAGATGAGAAGAAGAAAGTCTACTAATTGATGAGTTTAACGTTCATGCCTATTCTTTTCCCTTCCCGGGGCGACTATGGGACGTACAAACCAGTGTCACGGCGTGTATTGCTCTTGTTCTAGGATAGGAGCATTTGTATACGCGTATTCGAAAAGAAGCTGATCATGGCTGTTTTTATGTAATCTTTCGGTTTTCCTTCTTTAGTGCAAGCTGCCAAATCATGGTGGTTGACTCAGCCATACTATCGTTGGCTAACCGCAAGACGCGTTCTCACCCGTATGTTAAGTTTCTCTTCGCAATGATTCGGGTTTTTGAGAGCAGCCACAACGATGGGATGTGTTCGAGTCAGAACGGAAGCAACGTCACCTACCTTCTGACACCCATCTGTCCCGGAAATTTTTTCTGCAATCAGTCTTGTGGCCAGCTGTTTTCTCTTGTGCCGGATTACCAGCGCACGAATTCAATCCTCGATTTCTGCATCTGTCTCCCGGTGCCAACATCGCTTTCCATCCGCGCCGTTTCCGTAAGCAATTGCACGTGGAGCATCGTACAAACAATCAGCTTTTGGAAATACTCTCCCCAACTTGGTATTGTCGTGACGCTTGTATTTCTCATCCGTGTGATGATGCCATGAAGTAAAGTCAAGATCGGCCGTTCAATCGATAGGCGAACACTGTTTTGTCGTTTTGTCTGATGCGGAGCCAGTGTGCATAGCCTCACAACAACATTGATTTTGATTCGCTCTAACAATATCGACAAGCAAGTCAAGTACGAGAGGCACTGCTTGTCCAATGCGGTGGGCATAACAATGCTCGCGTGAGGCTCTTTCATTGGTGTACTAGCTCAGTCCGGGGGAGAAGATGGCGGTGTTGTGTCGCGCCCTGGCCGATGGAACCGATGCCCTGGAGCGCTCTTGACCACTTGGGAATCATCCTGATTGCATTGACAATGAATGCCTCTCATTGGAGAGGCATGCTGTACACAACACTTTGGCCGACGACTCGGGAAATCATACCACCTTAGCATCCCATCGGGCGGGAGGCGGCGGTTCGAATTGCGGCGACGTGCTCCTGTGTCGCGGCCTTACTATGCCACGCAGTGTCTGTTATCCACGCTTTGGCATGACCGGATCTGACATTGGAATCGAGCTGAGTGTGCATGGTGCCCCTCTTTGCCTCTCCATGGTATAAATGCGCTTCTCTTCGGTGCGAGTATCCTTAGGCTACTTCCCCCAGCAGACAACTTAACCCAACATCATCCGAGCAACAAACGCAGCAAACAGTATCCCCAGGCGCTTCCCATACCATGTATACTTCTGCTGAACATGAGCGGAATTCTGTTACGGCCGACGTAATGAAGGGCACGAAATCGATTGCATCTTCACTCGGTATACTTTGCTTGATGATCGCCGGTATTCATGGGCTTGTTATCCCGGCATCCCCAGAGCAAGCCGCATCTACAAACCTAGTTCATTCTGGAGGGAATTCGGGGGAAGAGATGCATGCGGAAGTTCAGTGTCAAGGACCATTTTGCGACTACGTGATTCCGAAGGCGGATTCCACAAATGCTGAAGAGCTGCATGTGGAAACTCAGTGCCAAGGACCATTTTGCGACTACGTGATTCCGAAGGCGGATTCCACAAATGCTGAAGATCTGCATGCGGAAACTCAGTGCCAAGGACCATTTTGCGACTACGTGATTCCGAAGGCGGATTCCACAAATGCTGAAGATCTACATGCGGAAAGACAGTGCCAAGGACCATTGTGCGACTCCAATGCTGAAGAGCTGCATGTGGAAACCCAGTGCCAAGGACCATTGTGCGACTCCAATGCTGAAGAGCTGCATGCGGAAACCCAGTGCCAAGGACCATTTTGTGACTCCGTGATTCCGAGGGCAGATTCCACAAATGCTTTGGACGAGACTGCGGACGAGACAAAGGATGCGGCGGGTACAACCGAAGATCCGATCAGCCAAGCGCCAATGCATGCTTCGGCCGAAGACAAGCTCATGGTCCATGACGAAACTGGGTGTCAAGGGCCGCACTGTGACTTTGTGGTACGCAATAAGAAGGCCATCAACAGCGCCGATAACGGAACCGTCGATGCGGCCGACATCGGTACTCTCGAGTCGAAGCACAACCCTGATTTGGCCGCAGAGACGAATCAGTCTGAGAATAACGTCGGTGCGAAGGATGCCCCTGCAAGGTCCGAAGATCTGGCTTGACCTGTGACCACGACTTCAGCAGCCGACTGCCAAGGATGTACGCTGGTACGCAATACAAGGGGTCTTATTGTAATGTTGTCAACCCTAATCAATCACCCGGGCTGTCTGGATTTATTATACCTTGCTGAGGTTATTTTAGAGTAGATCTCAAACGTTTCCACTGTTTGTCCCATAATTTACTGTTTTAGAATCGACATAAATTCTTCATAATGTCAAAAACAAAAGGGATCGCAAGTTAACGCCGCCATTAATCCGAAGTCGTGTACGACAGAAGTATCGGGAAACAAAAAGTTGTCAATAAATCCTTCACAGCGCTGGATGAACTGATTAAGTGTGACCCCTCGCAGTTGTCTCGTCCGATAACCGCCGCTTCGAGCCCTGTCTGCGAAGGACTTCAACTCTCAGCCTTTCCGCCTCGTCCTTGTTTCGAATATCCTCGAACTGAACCAGTAAATCCTTGACAGAGCCACTTGAACGTCTTCTGTTGGCTCTCAACGTTTGCTCTATTGGGTCGCGCGGGCTCAGCTCTACGTGCCTCAAAGGCTTCACGTTTGGCAGCGGGGAGTCTGAACTTGCAGTTGATGTCACCGCCGTTACAGGCGTAATGGGTCGAGACCGGAGTGACATTTCTGCTTGAGGGAGTGGTCTGGGCAGAATAGCAGGACCATTGGATTTGATAATGGTCGGTTGAGGGATACGGGATGTCGTCGTCTCCGATTTCTGTCTGCTCAGCACATCACTCAAGAAACCACCCAGTCGGTCTGCCATGCTGGGTGATGCTTTTGAATGGCTCTTCATTGCCCCTTGCAGCTGGCCAATGACATTCTGCTTGATTGGAGTTGATGAAGCACCTGGTGGGGCCGCAGTACCACGATTCTTGACGACCGCTGATTGCTGCTTCGGGAGAGGGATGCTCCTTACCTTGGAGGGACTCAGCGGAGAGTCATGGGTCACCAGCACTGAGCCGGCCTGATGTTGAGGCGGTGCAACCGCGGAACTGGGCAGCGAGGGCGGACACGGAGTTGTGGAGCTGAAATGATGTACCTCCCTAATATTTGATTCTTCATGCGGGAGAGATAAAAGTGCATCAGACGGCTCTGCCTTGATTTCCGGCTCGCATGTCTTCCGTCGCTCTAGTCGCTTCAAGGCTTCGATTCTGGAAAGCATCTTTTGTCTGTACGCAGTCTCAGATATAGCATAAACAAGGGGACTGGAGCAACTGACCTGCTCCATTGGCCCGTCAGTCCAGGCACAACATTCTCCACAGCGCAGAAAGCTACGATGAGATCATACGCCTTCTCGATATCGATATCTGTGTCATTCTCAGATGCACCAATCTGCGCGGCCAAATCATGTCGGAACTGCAAAAACATTTTGTGAAGGCGTTTCCAGTGTCCCTTTGTCCATTCAGCGGAAGTATGACCCATTTGTTTAGTTAATCGCAGTGGAGTGCCGGCGAGAAACGTGGTGTTGCTCCCCAGGGCGCCCATGAGTGATGCGTCCATGTTTCCATCGGCAAGACTGGCTTCAAGATGTTCTAGCAGATATCCCCCGGAAACAGTGCCATCATCATTCGAGGTGACAGAGGAAGCGCGGTACCGCTTTCCCTTAGAACGGGGAGTGGGGATGCTCTTCAAAGTCTCCTCAAATCGACGACTTTCTCGCCTCTTGCGTAATGAGCGAGGAGAGTCAAGTATACCTTCCACCGGTTCGATGAGCTCTTCAACCTCCAAGCCATGACGCTGTCAACATCTTTAGATACTGAATACCACTGCAAGATAAAGCATACCTTCAGAATCATCGCAACCTTCGCGCACTTCAACGGATCGGTGCCTTCGATGACGACCTCATGTTCGGGAGACGCAGCTCGGGGTGGGGATGGCGACGGGGATGGTGAACGGACGGGTACAATCTCGTCCTCGTATTCATACTCGTCAAGATCCTCGGACTCTTCCGCAGGCTCGTAAGGTGTTGTCTCTCGAATCACTTCCTCCTCTTCCGCCAGCTCTTCCAGGGTGACATAATGTTTGGAATGCTCTTCGTCTTCAGAGTTATCTTCTTCAGGGGTCGTGTGGCGAACGGCCTCTTCCTCCTCGACGACATCCTGAAGCTCTTGCTCAGCCATTCCCGCGAACACTTCCTCTTCACCTTCCACGACGTCCTCGCCGACTTCATCAAGCGCATCCAGGACGGCAGCATCGATCATCAGACTCTGTTCTACTGCATCTTCATCTTCCTCCTGTTCCTCAGTTTCATCTTCATAAGCTTCTGCTTGCTGAACATTGACATGTTCATCGTCGGAATCACCTGCATCACCCATGCGGCTAAAGTCATCGTCTTCGTACACGTAGCCACCTTCTTCATCATGTTCCTTCTCCAGTTCTTGTTCGGCTTCCAACGTATGATTTTCTGGCACTGACAGAGCTTCAGCAGTGGGTTGGGCCACTTCTTCGACCACTTCCACCACCCTCCCTCGGCCGACGTCCGGGGTCCGCCTCGGTTCCGGCGAAGGGATGCTCTTCAACGCCCTGAAAAGGAAGAGTCTCCCCTTTAGAGCCAACAGTCCGTCCTCTTCCTTATCTTCGTCTTGCCAATCCGCATCATCCGGCACGGAAGTGGCGTCGCTGAAGGCTACACTCTTCATCTTCATTGCCCGCTGGTGCGTTACTTGGGGCAGTACTTGAGGAACGGCACGTGCACGAGTTTGCTCCGCAGCCGGCACATGAACTGGCGAATGCAGGATCCTGCGGAAGGTTGCTGGGCTCATCCCCGAGACGTAAGAAGCTGCAAATGTCAGCCCCAGACGGTTGTCCTCCACCGTTTCGGAGGTGTCCGAAGGTGGGGAAACAGCACGTCCAGGAAGAGAGCTAAAAATGCCCGAAACGCTGGCAGCGGCGGGTGTCGATGCAGCAATCTGGCTAGGGACGGAAGTCAGAGCCATGCGAGGCGGAGAGACGGGAGTGAGAGCAGGATGCTCGCTTTGCGTCAAAGGAACGGACAGCCGAGTCGAGATAACATCAGCTGGCAACTGGGCGGGCGGCTCTTCAGGACTGATACTCGGCCGAGGACTGGGGAGACTGCCCTCGCTCGTCATGCTCAGGTTGCGCCTGTGCCCTTGCTGAATGGACGACGTGAGGACAGCGATAGGCGAGAGCTCGGTCGGCGGTCGGGTAGGCGTTGCGAGACGCATGCTGGTGTCGGGTGGGCTGCTTATAACAGGCACTGTGTAGTCGATCGACTGCCGCCTGGCTGTAGGAGGGCGAGAAGGCGTAGAGAATCGGATGCTGGTGTTTGCGGGACTGCTCAAGACAGGTATCTTGTAGTCGAACGAGTCGTGTGGAGTTGGCGAAGGACGAGCGGGCGTAGCGAAGTGCATCAACACATCTTCCGGTGCGGAGACAGCAGGACTATCATAGTCCTGCCACTGATCGCCGTCATCATCACTATTACCTCCCCCAGCAGCATCACCCCAGCCGGAACCACACTCATTGACCGGAGAGACAGGCGGTGCTCCGTCCTCCCAGGCGATGGTCGTATCGGCGGCATGCGGCTCCTCCTCGTCTGCGAGAGTTACACTCTTCATCTTCATCTGATTGTCCCCCCTCTTCCGCCATCCCATGAACACTTCCGTCCCGTGAAGCAAAATGGGGTCGTCTCCTGGACTGGGCGGAGCTAACATCGTTGGCGTAAGGTCCACTTTGGGAGGAGTGCGGTGCAGGTGCAGGGGGATAGCGTTTGCTCGTCGACCCAGGGTGGTTACTGGTCGGGATTTGATGTAGACAGCCTTGATAGGTGTTACCGGACCAGCGACAACGACGGAATAGGTCTGCCCAGGGCCAGATGCACTAGTGGCAGCGTTAGGGAGAGAGGAGCGTGCTTTCTTCTGTTTCGTAGGCTTGGCGGGTGAAGGTTGAGGGGAGCGAGAGGCCCGCTTGAGCACATTCACGGATTGAGACTTGGCACTCTTCCGCACTCGGGGATTGGGGGAGGTTTTCAGTGATGTTGTTCGAACGCGTTTGCGGGTAGCAGCAGACGTTGCAGAGATTGTGGGAGGTTGGTCGGTGTGAAGAGACGTACGAGGCTACAAGCTGATCAAAATATGAAACATAAATAAGCATGCACCTGCGTACCTTGATGCGTTCTGGCTCGGGCTCTTGACTACCAGGTGGGGTAAGAAGCCCCTCAACAATCAGGCTGTTCTCCTTCTCGATCACCTTGAGTCCGTTATCCATAGAGTTGACACTCCTAGTGCCCAACGCTTTCTTCTTGTTGCCTGAGATGGTTGGATTTCGTCTCTGTCCACTTGGTGGTGTGTTCTCGTCTCCAAGTATGGAGGACACAGACGTGGTCAAGTCCTCGATAGCTCGACGGCGTCGAAGGGTCTTGCTTTCTTCAGCGGATGTCGGAACAGGATGGTTGTGGTTGAATGAAGAGAGAGGCATTGATCGTGCTGAAACAGGTCTCGTCATTGTCGCAGAACAGCGCTGCAGCACGCTGTATGCGCCGGTGATGGCAGTTGACTCGCAATTAATAAGCTCGTCAATGACGGCGATGGCGATGGTGGGTCCAACGCGGGAGCAAACGCTCCTCGACGCGTCTCCAGCATTCATCACGTGATTGACTTCTTTTTCTAGGACGCGTCTAATATGATAACCTTGCTTTCTGTATTCCTTCAATTATTCCTTCAATTCACACTAAGCGCTCCTCTTTGCCCAAAATCCATCTTTCACCGTCTCACCCTCTGCGGTCTTATAGCTGTCGGCAGGTAGGATCACACTCACCCACGCAGCGGGGACGTCGCCCTTGTTGAGCCACCCGTGCAGCGTCCCTCGCTGGATGATCACATCTCCCTGACTCGCGAGTGTATGCTCCAGGCGGGGGTCGTTCAGATCCGTCGGGATGTCTGATGGGTCGAGCTCCTCCTTGGGCGTGACCAGAGCGATCGTACCATGTGTCATGATGTTGTAATCGACCGAAGAGGTACGGTGCTGTAAAGCAAAGCATCGGCTGTACCATTCATGAGTTATGCAGGACAACGCACCATAGCAACAAACGCGCCCGGCTGGAGCTCTCCCCACCTCATATTGCTCCCATCTTGGACAACAATCGCATTCGGGTTCGCGCCCTCCGTCTCATCCTTCCTATCAATCGGGACCAATCAGCTATCTCCCAACACCAGTATCACATCACAAGCACTCACTCGCCTTGGACATGTGTCGGTGTACCATGCGTCTGCCACACCTGTGCGATCTGAACCGTGTTTGCGTGGGAAGTGTACGACGGTTCCCCGTTGATGAGGATCTTGACAACCGGCTCCTTCCCTGGAGTGCAGGTTGATGCGTGGCCGGTTACGATGCGTTTCATGCCCATACTGTTCAGTCTTCAGCGAGGATTTAACTCCCAAGATCTTGAATAAAGGATGGGCCACAGGAGACGGAACGCCTTGTTGATATGCACCTTGTGGGGGCATCAGCATGCTAGGGTCTGCCAGCATGAACGTATTGCCTAATGTCATTGCCCCCGCCGGGAATGGATAGGGTTCGTGAGTCAGAAACTGCTTCAAGTTGGTCACGATGCTTATTACAGGTTGAAGGAAAGCGAATGGCAGTTTGAAGGAAAGTGATCGAGCGTGTAAAATGCTGTACGTTTTATGCAATTGTGTGCGCTCTGCTTCAGCAAGTGCTCTGGTCACGGAGCAAACGGTATAACATTTCAGCTGTCTGGAGACGATAATCGTGATAAGTGAGTACATGCATGTCTGTCGCTCATCATATGTCATAAAAGCCATACGGTCGCTCATTCCACGTAGTATAGAGCTCCACCAACCCCATCAGCTCGTCAATTGTTTTTTCATCTCCAACAGTAGGATCGGTCCAGTAAGACCCGAACAGACGGATCTTGCGCAGCTTGCATACGCCCGCACGCAGTTTCACCAACTTCAAAAGGTGTGACGAGAGCTCGAACTCGCCGCGGTGCACAATACAGAGTTCTTCCAATGCCGGACCTAGAAGCTCGCCAGCCTCCGCAACCTTCACCAGTATCTCGAGCGCCCAGGCATGGATGACCACACATCTCAGCTCCCTTTGCATTCGAAAGACAGCGCACACCTTGTCGAGCACCCGACTCATGGACGGCACGTCGAGTGTTTGCAGCGTCCACTCTTTCTCGAGCACTGTATCTGACCAAAAGCTGTCTTGGGATGACTTGTCGTCCCAGAAGTGAGGCCCAAATTGCATATGCTTCATACGGGGAGCTTGCAAAGCGCGCAAGAAAAAGGTGACGCGCTGGTCACCGCGAGCCGTGGGGATCACAAGAGTATGCAAAGAGGGTAGATGCGCGCCCTCACCGGCAAAGGTGTCCGAACCCCTCCAAAGCCGAATCGACAGCCGAAGAGCCTCCAGCTTGTGCAACTTGGAAAGCATCTGATTGATACTGGAGAGACCCATGGAGTCATCCTGAACACACCGGCCGATGTCCAAGTACCGCAAGTTGGGCGTCGCATCCAGTTGAACAGGAAGGATGACCTGCTGGAGGGTTAACTCCCTCAGCTCGGTGGCGTTCAGGAGGACATTCTTCATCCCGAGTAGCGCAGGATCGTTCCAGCGCCTGGGGTCTCCGCATAGAATTGCTTCGTACAGTCTTGGTAGAGAGCAATTTGATGATTTTGTTCTAAAAAGAGATACATCGCTGCTCAAGTCCAGCGGCTCGAGGTACAACGATCGCCACCGTTCTCGCCGGGCACGTAGGACAGCAATAAACTCCGCTCGATCTCTGCGGGGAGCACGCTTAAAGGATGCCGATTCGATGCTTATGTGCATATCGATGTCTGGGAAAGGGGAAAGGGGCGAAATGGCGAGTTGAATAAGAGCGCGTCGGTGGTCCTTGTTGAGGACATCGGGGAACTCGATGGCGGACCAAAAACGTGATACAGCAAGGGCTGTTTGCCGCCAGCGTTGGCTAACCTGAAGCAGGTTTACCGGAGCTTGTCGCAATCGCTCGTTCAGTGAACTCTGGTCGTTTTCCACCAGTGCGAAGATGTGATGCCAGATTTCGGTCGGCAGGCGATCGATGGGTGCTTGCACTCCCGTTCTCGAACTGGGTATTTTGTCATCGGCAACATTAGGCATGGTGTACATAGAGGAGAACTGTTGGATTTCAACAGATGCTGTCGCCGCGTGAAAGGTGATTCGAAATACTGAGCGATTGAATGAATGGACGCAGCGAACGCGGACACAACGCGTCCCCCGAAGCTAGCCCGAAGCTGCTGCAAGCTGTGTCTTCCAGTTCTAGCGCCCTTCCTTCCTTCTGCGGCCGTTGATGTTGACTCTATCTCAACATGGGGACTCGGCGCATATATTGACCTCATATGGCACTCTGTCTTGCATTGTCCGGTGAATCTGTGATGGAATCTCTCGTTGCTGCGGAGCGTTTCAATGACTTTCGCTCACACGGATCAGCTACATGTTGTGATGCTCCAGGACGCGACATCGAATTCTCTTCATTTCCCGACCAGATCTTAGCTCTAATCTTCGCGAAGGAGAAACTGCTTCCTCGATGTATGTCATCCCCGGTGGATGATTGTTGGCATATATGTTGAGCGTAATGTCGATATGAGATGATCTTCCACCAGGGTGAGTCCGCTCTCACCGAGGAGATATGGCGCTATCTAGAGCCAGCTTTCACATTCTAGGCCGCATTGAACCTCGCTGGCTCATATTCTGTTCCCATATTACGTCTTCGAGGGATCGCTTAATCTGATTCTGTTCGGTCCTGGCCGAATGCTCATTCCTCCTCACTCCCTCTTTCCCTTAGGCAATAGACCCGGACCTTGACCTTGCCTCACGCGAACACCTCATTCTACCGCAGTATGGCTTGGCCGTGTGCTTACTGTGGACCTTATCTACCTCCCTAGGAGGGAGGGGTCGCTGTCATCTGTCCTACATCCACTTCTGGAGCCCCACTCATTCTAGTGAACAATGTCTGAGCTTGAGGCCCTCCGTTCGATTATCAACGAGTCACTTGACATCCTCCAGGATGGTATGATTGACGTATATCTTTATGTGACATATTAACTTATACTGGCTACAGAGCTAAAGGCTGCCAACCTGCCGGATCTCTTCGTGTCCAAGCCGGAGATGCACCCGCTGGATGACCTGACGTACCTGCAAACGCCTCGCCTGTTTGAAACCAGGCGTATCCTTCTCGGAGCTTGCCGGATGCTTGCGGCTGCTGTTCAGCCTCCGACGGAGAAGGTGAGGAGGGTCATCATCCCCAGACAATCTTTCTAATTTCAGCGTCAAGATCATCGAAGAAGGATGGGCTGTGAGTCTATCCGTGTGACAGTTGAATGCGCAATATTAACATGACTGTCACATCAGCATCAGCGCTCCCAAGCTCTTCACATGGCTTGCAAGTACAACGTGGCGGGTGTCCTTGCTCAATCTGCTGTCGACCAGGATAAGGGTGTCGACGCCGAAACCTTGGCAAAGCGATTCGGGCTCAGCCCCGATCCTTTCAGTACGCGCGTTCTGACATTGCCTTAACGGAACTCAATATAGACAGAGAGGGAAATGCGTATGCTGGCTTCTCATCACTATGTGGGTCCTTTTCCAAAGAAAACCGGCTCTTTCTAAAAGCCGTAACAGTTCCGTGAGACCAGCGAGGGTCATTTCGCCAACAACCGCATATCAATGTCTTTGGTGCCGCCGAACGTTGCGCCCTACGGCATTGAGTATATGTCAGCTCGACGATGTGTTGGGATACCAGCCAATAATGCTGATTATTTAACAGTGCTGTATGGGGTCTTAAGACGGCTCATTGCGTCGTCGACTCTATGCCCATCAACGAATGGAGGACTGGTGGCCAGCTCGCCTACGGATTCGACACAGATATGTTTACATTCATTGCCAAGCATCCCGAGTATCTCAGCATGATGGTCTCCGCTATGAGTGGCCTGTACGAGAGCCAGGCGAATGGACTGACCACTGGCAGGCGTCTTACAGAACTTTGGTTAACACCCTGCTAAATGTGTCCAGACTTCCCCTGGAAGGATCTCCCTCCAGGCACGGTTGTGGTGGACGTTGGCGGGGGAGAGGGTGGGCTGATGATGGCAGTCGGGAAGGCCTTCCCACACTTGAAGGTCCTGGATCAGGATCGTCCCGAGGTTGGCCCTGCTGCTCTCGCTGTAGGTTTGTTTCAAACCATTTAGTTTGCCGAAACTGATCTTCCGGTATGTAGAATTGGCAGAAGCACGCACCCGAACTTCTCGCGCAGGGACGCATCTCTTTTGAACCCCACAACTTCTTCCAGCCGCAGCCCCGTAGCGGTGCAGAAGTAAGTGCTCTCTTGTGGTTGGTGAATGTCGTCTTTTTTACCTGATTTTAGTACGTCTATGTGATGCGGTGCATCATGTAAGTTCATATGATCCTGCTCCTTCGCCGACTCAGCGTTGTACAGTCATGATTGGCCACACGAGGAGTCTGTAACGATACTCAATAACCTCCGCAATGCGATGCTGCCCAGTTCACGTCTGCTGATTGTTGAACATGTGATTTACCCTCCCATCATGCCAAAAGAGAAAACGCCGCTCCTGCTGGCCAACATCGACAACAATCAGCCATATAAAGAGATTTCCACTCCATGGCCGATGCCTAATGGTCCACAGGTGCTCGAACTCGTAAGCATCTTCCTACGTTTTTGAGCCATATGTACTGAATAGTCACAGGCACATGATATCGAGATGTTCTGCAACTTTAAAGCGAAAGAACGCACTCCTGCGGAGTGGGATTCGCTCCTTGGCGAATGTGGCCTGAAGGTGGTCAAGATATGGTCCACGAGGACCGAGTTCTCCATTGTAGAGATCATGCTTGCGTAACTGTATAAGGCCTTTATGAATGATGCTAGGCTCAGATGGAGAACGTTTGTAACAAATAGCTCAACCTAATACAGGATAAGCATGCCCTCTCAACGGGGCTGTAGAAAGCGGCAATGCATTGTAGACTCGAACTTTCAATTGATTGTTCTTGCACGTTACATGGCAAAAGGTGCCACTGAGGCATCGGAGTTCACTGCGGAAACTGTTGAGTGCTTTCAAGAAACTTAAATATATCGACGGGGATCTAAAATTACAATTTGCAGAGAGGGAAGTTCTTGTTATGGGTATATGCGTGAATGTCCAGATTGTGAGAATGCTTTGTAAGGTATCGTCGTCAAGATTTGTTGTCATCCAAAAACCTTTTTTTTTAAAGCAGAGCCTGTAGGATTTGGGTAGCTAGGATGGGCCGTATACCAATCGTCCATCCACTTCTCCATGTACTGCAGAACGAGCTGCTGTGCTTTGTAAATTGTGTTGTCAGCCTCTCCGTTTGCCGTGAGAAGATCTGAACAGTGGAACCCATCCGAAACGGTAATCGGTTGATTGGGGGTGGACGTGCGGTTGATGTAATCGGACGACACGGTTGCGAACTTCCATGGGTCGCGGTTTCCGTTCAAGAAAATCAGACGATCGGCGTTCATATGCCATCCACCGTAGGCATTATTTACGTAGCTAACATTTGCCGAGTGGAGGGTTGGGTACTGGGTTAGAAACTTAGTGCGGATTTAACAGAGGAACGACATGACATACTGCTTCTGGGAAGAAGTTCTGACAAAGATCACGCTCATCATACTTAGGCGTGATCAAGCGTGAAACCAGTGAAGGATAATGGTTTGGAGCTGAGACCTCCCACCATCCAGCGAAGTTGCAACTGAGAAAATAGGCAGTAAGTATCATGATTCTATCCGGTTGGTGGACACTCACGTGGTCCACTGCCAGGAGCGAGAGTCTTGATCAATAGTGGTATTACTGTACGCAGGATTCGTGGGATCACGGGAACCATAGCATGCATCCTGATCGTCCTCACCGCAAGCTATGATTATCATTGGACCCCGTATAAACTGCAAAACTACTGCGTCTACTCACATTCTGCGTTCCACGTGGATACCCAGGCAGCAAAGTTTTTGATAGTGCTGTTCAACCCAAATCCTTGAGGGCCCGAGACTTTGCCATTGCCGTCCGTCTCCAGCGCGTCACAGAACTTGTAGAAAGGCTCCCCTGGTCCACTTCAGTCGGTCAGTCAGGGAATGCGGCGAGACCGAGTGTAGAAACTCACCTCGAAGGATCCATATCTTGCCACATGAAGATTGGGTCACGCAGCGCAGAAGCAACATCGTCCAAATATGTGACATTGGGGAAACCGAGCTGGGTTTTGAGGGATTGTTGCTCCTCTTTGGTACCGTTGAACGCAATCTTGTCGAACTACATTATGCCACAGTTAGATCGACCGAAGAAATGAAGACACTTGAAAGAATGCGCACGTGTCCGATCAGTGCCTGCCAATCAGCGCTACAATTCCAGGGCATGTGGGTGCGAATAGGTTCGAAGTACATCCACCCGTCATTTATAGCCTGTACTACGGCTGAAGATGCGTAGCCAGCCCAGAATGCATCGGGATTGCTATTGACCGTCCATGCCGTCAGAGCACCCGAGTAGCTACCGCCGAGCAAAATCCACGCATTCCTCTGGCTTCTTATCTGATTTCCTCCAGGCATAGCAAGCTTGACATTCTGGGAGAAGTATACGAGGTCGTTGACGGCCTGATCGATGCTATGGACCTGATACGACTTGACCGACAGGTCAGGGTAGGGATTCGATTTGCCATAGAAACGATGCTCGAGAATTATAGCTGCGCCATTTTGCTGCTGTGCAATCTGGCCAACCATGCTCCCGTTGGTGAGATATGAGTAGAAGCCATCTACGCTGTTCTCGCCAGGTGTCATCATGACAACAGGACCACCGGGAAGGTAATATTGATATGTGAAGTAATCTGCGGGATAGTGAGATCAGCAGGGTTGCGAGACGCGTTCACAGCTCACATCTCTGTTTGAAAGTTCCTAGACTGGGATTGCTATGATCAATCAATTGATCGAACGTGTATACAGTATCGAGCGGCTTTAGCTTGGTGCCGTCCATACCGTATACCTCTGTCTCGGCGTCGAGGTCTGGCATTGCCGGCAATGACGGTTTCCTCAAGCTTCTCCGGTCCAAAGCAAAGGCGCTTGTGGAGAGAAACACAAGCGCATACAGAAGCCCTTGTTTCAGGCTGAGCATCTTGAATAGCAATTCCGAAAATTAGTAGGTGATAGAGTAGGAGTCGATAGCCAGCTATCGACGATAATGATTCATTTCCCCCCAGATGTCTGTCACCTTTAAGAAGGGTGAGGAAGGAGGTGCACAGTGTTTCCATGGCGTTTGAGCTATGTGGTACCCAGGAAAATGCAACATCACTGTGCCTAGCGATATCACAGGTCTGTGCTGGGAGTTGAACAGGAGGCGTAGATAACAGTTCCAGACGGAACAGGGGGTTCAGTAGCTGATGCCGAGACAATCCTTCGTAGGCGCTTGGTCTCCAGTGTCAAATTTAGCTATAAAACAAACAACTTCGCAGATGTGACTAATGAGAGGGACGAGGCGATACACGGAAGCTGCATGGTGAGTGTCAACAGGTTCCTGAGCCCAGTTATTTTGTCGTCACGTGCACCGCCCGTTCTGGGAATTGATCGGTCCGTTTGGCATACAAAGTTACTCAGACAATGACGGATAGTATACAATCACAACAGAGAACAAAACAACATGTACTGAGGTGTACTAAGATGCAAGGGAGGTAATCATCTCAGGCAATCCTATGGTCACTCGAGCTCCTCGAGAGATGGCTTGGACCGCTCGTCTTGAAGAGCCTCATCTGTGCAGCACCCGCGGCCACCGGTGGATTTATCTCCGTATCATCCTCAAACATGAACTCCCTATCATCCTCAGGCTCAGAGAACGCAAAATCTCCATCCATCGGGCTCTGTGTATCATCTTCGGGCATCGGCGGCTCGGAGAACCTTATATGTGCCATCCACGGTGGCGAATGGTGCCAATGTTTCCGGAGGAAGAAGCCCCACTTCAGCGTCTTCCACCGGTTTGCCAAGGAGTGCGGGTCGTCCGAACTGTGCACTTCGGCCACCACCCAAGCGCCCGGGCCGCGTTTGCGCGGTGTAATAGACCCAACCTGATCGTCCTCAAAAGAACGCGCAGAGAGCGCTTTCGGGGATGGGGAAGAAGGTACATGAGAAGGGGAAGTAGGAGACGAAGGGGCAGACTCCTTAGAGGGCACTTCCGGGGATGGGGAAGAAGGTTCAGGAGAAGGGGAAGTAGGAGACGAAGGGGCAGACTCCTTAGAGGGCGCTTCCGGGGATGGGGAAGAAGGTTCAGGAGAAGGGGAAGAAGGTTCAGGAGAAGGGGAAGAAGGTTCAGGAGAAGGGGAAGAAGGTTCAGGAGAAGGGGAAGAAGGTTCAGGAGAAGGGGAAGAAGGTTCAGGAGAAGGGGAAGAAGGTTCAGGAGAAGGGGAAGAAGGTCCAGGAGAAGAGGAAGAAGGTTCAGGAGAAGGGGAAGTAGGAGACGAAGGGGCAGACTCCTTATCGACATGTTCGTGGGCGTGCCTGTAGTGCCGGTGGTGCCTGTGCCAGTAGCCGTGACGGCCGTGGTGGTGCCGGTGAGGACCATGGTGATGCCTGTGACGATGCCTGGGATGGCAATGGTGCCTGCCATGACAGTAATGGCTGTGGTGAGAGCTGACGGCCTGGACCTCGGAAGGCTGCTGTTCCGTGGGGAGAGCTATGTTCGTATCCTGATCGTTCCTGTCCCACGCTGTTAACCTCCATCCATTGGATCTCAACAGAGACATTAACTTACTTAGCCAAGGGATAAGCCAAAGCAGGTGCGGTGAATGCAAGAGCAGCGAGAAGGTACGCGTAACGCATTTTGATGTGTTGTGTCTTGTGTAGGGATCGATACGATTGTGTGGTAGTTGTGTAATTCGTGAGGCGGACCAGCGCCGAATAGGATATGTGTATGGCAAGGTTGGGGGGGTGGGGGATAACAGGAGACCAGCTGCCTTGATGGGTCATCTCAGGGTGCGAGGCGCTTTTTGAGGCTTGGGCCGGATAGGAGGGGGCGATAGGGGAACGTGGTTCCACCAGAGCGTTAGGAGCATAGCGTACAGCAATCATAGACGTCATAGGAGAGTGTCATGCTATCAGTCGCTATGTTTGATCGTTCAGCGATATACGGACAATATGGTTTTGGGTATGCGATGCATGCGGGTGTCAGTTTGCGTTTCAGGACTAGAGCACAGCGTTACACCAGTTCACAGGCGCATAAAGACAAGCGCTGACTGAGACCTGAGATCGCACAGCAGGGCATTTATATTCAACTACACGGGCAACTTCAAAGCATAAGAGAAACGCGTGGGAAGCGGCGGATGGAAAGCAGCCGTCGCTTCCCAGATCTTTCAGCATGGTTTCCACGTGGAAACCTGCAAAACAGCTGAACACATGGCTTTCACCTGGTTCACTGGTGTTTTCCATATGTTAGATTAGTATGTCGTAGTATTACCTTTAATAATAAAGCTTGTTCCACCTTCTCTAAGCCAACAGTGCAGACCAGCACCATCAATTGCAACACCACAAATGCTACAGACATTCATTTGCACTTGTAATGACAGACTAAAAATGCTAGAGAGGGGAAGGGAATTGTCTACACTACAACATCACAGTGTGCAGGTGTTAGGGCAACACAGGCTGACTAAGTCTGCTCACCTAAGAGTGCCAAGAGTCTA